ATCTTATCAAATCTAAAACATTTATTTATTTATTTTAACAGACTGGGAAGTAGCTGACATTTGTAGAATATATCTTGTAGGCATGGTGCACTTTATGCATGAAACAGTACTGTATAAACTTAAGAGTGCAACCCCTGACTTCTCTTGTAAATTGTACATTTTTGCAAGGAGTTGTGGTGTGAGGGAGATTCTTGCCAATCACTATTTTCTTTCTATTTTCTACTTTCTACTAGGTGACTCAGAGCAGTACACTTGGGAAGAAGCCAGAAATCCATCTGAACAGCACCTTCGGACCTCTCACCAGCAGAGAACTAAGCTCTGACATTTGGTAGAAGGAAAGTTCCCTGGATGATCAGACTGGTTTACAGGCTCCTCTTGAACTGGCTTTGGACATGTGGTAGACTGGCTTACCGATAGGTTTTCATTGGATTTTTGGACAGTGTACAGCCTTGGTTTTCGGGAGAGACTGCGGACTGCCTGCACAATAGTTTTTGAGTCCCATCCTAAGTTGTCAAAAAAGGACTGCTTAAAGACTTCAAACAACTTGGATTCACAGTGGTTGATTATACTGGCTGAAGACTGACTGCTAGTATTGGACCTGCCAGGGGTTAGGAACGTATGACGTGTAAGATGTGTAGCCAGCACCCTTGAAGAAGAGCGGTACTATACAACATGAGAGGTCAAAAGCAATGGACTAGTGGAGAAAGCCTGTAAACAGGTATGGACATGTGGATATTTTGAACTTCATAGTCAATAAAGGTCCACAAAACCTCTGTGGTGAGTACATGTCCACAGACAGTGGTACTTCACTTGTCAACAAAGTATCAAGGTTGAAACTGGAGCACGCACACCAGCCGCGTACCCCAAAAACAAGATGATTTTCTAGCTGGTACGCTATTAGGACATATAAGTCCACTGAAAAACAGTGCAGTAGGGTGTTTAAGGAAAGCCAGTATATCTTCATACTTGCTGTGAGGAAATCAACCTACCTGTTGACTCGGTGGATTGTCAGTAGACTTCAAGCAATGATTTTGGAATACCAGTCCACCTTAAATCAACTTGTCAACCTCTTTGATTACAACGTTTGGCTATACCTAGCTAGCTACCTGGTGTGGTCCTCATAGCTTAAACGGTTGACTAAAAAGAAATGAACTTGCTCAAGACAGCAATTGCTTAACTCAATTACTGAGAATGCAAAGAAAGCTGGTGTAATGGAAACATGTCTCGTTGTTCATACGAGTCGACTATAAGGCAACTTGCTTCTTCAAGTGGAGGGATTCCAAAAAGCTCCGTGTGACCACCAACCAGAGTGCTCAGACTTTGAAATCTAGTGATTAGTTAATTCATCATTGGGTCAACTGGCCAAGAGGTGATCTGCCAATTTTTACCATCGAGCTAAAAGCATAAAGGACTTGACTCTTTCTATTTGCATGACCACCCATTTAGATTAAAAAGAGTATTAAATAAATATAGATAAAAGAGTTAATGACACAACATTTCTCGCAACCTCTTTTAGTATGGAGGAGAATAAATGTCTTATGTTGATACAGTATTTCTTTTCTTCTGTCCGGCCATAAAGTAATGAATAAAGCTGAAAAGGTGAAAAGGGGGTGACCCTCCAAAATACTTTAAAAATATTTATTATATTTGTTTCAGCCTTTCTGATGGTTGGTGAGCATTTTGCCAGGCTTTGTTTTCAATGTTTGTTTGTTACAATAATCTCTGTACAGCTTCCATAAATTCTGCATAGACCTATACATAACAGTGATTTGTTACCTACGGTTTTTGTTAACACCATTATTATGTGTGTGGGACCCAGAGCCACTATTGCTTTATTTAGTTCCTCTTTTATGAGTGGGTGGTGAGATGGATGGAGGGATGGATGGATTGATGAATGGATGGATGGATGGATGGTCATGGCAGTAGACCCCTGCAAGTGGCTAATGTTTTGAACAAGTCACTCTGGATTCAAAACCACTATTAGTCACCAAAAGGGGGCTTCACTACTAACATTGTTGGACTCCAAGCTGAACCAGACCATTCTTATTTTTGAGCTTTAAGATACCAAGTCAATTACAATACTATTTAAGAAAACCTATAATGTTTTTAATTTACACTAAAAACTGTCATTGTTTTATAAGAACCAATGAATCCTGGGTACTGCAGATTGTTTGATACAATAATTAATTATCTGAGTTGTTATATTCGATGGCAATATACAGTATAGTGGTTGTCTTTGGGTTTTTGCTCATTTCTTTGACTTTTCTTTGGATATATTGGTTGAATAATTTAACTAAGAGCAAATAAAAGTTATGAGTTTTTTGTACAATGTGGGGTCTGTCGTACATACAGCTGTTTTTTCTTCCTCCTTCATATGCTTACTCTCCCCTTGTTTGTTTTAATTCTCTGTTACATGCTTAACCAAACTCTCCACAGGTGTTCCTTTTCTTTCTTTAATAATTATCAAACCCATATGATCTGCCTCTGCAAAACACATACTAATCAAGCCCTTCCAAAGAGGGGCATGTTCAGACACAGCTCATTTACATTTAAAGCTACAGGCACAGAAACAGCCTGTTCTGAGCAGGGCTGAAATAGAGGGGTTTATAGGCATGGTCAAATACAGGATCAGAGTGGATTCATAACAATAAACTTCTAAGACATATTGGGAGCTCTGAGACTTATTTATTATTTATTTTGATTGATTTTCAGTAAAAAGGTCATTTTTTAAGGTCTATCCCAAAACTGCAAAAACCTTGCAAAAAAATAGCACGTCAGATTAATAGCCTCAGAAAATATGAAGAGTCAGAAATAATAGGATTTTACATCTGATATTTGTCTATGGCTTGGGTTTGGTTTAAATGCTTCAACATGCCCAGATAAAATTTGTGGATTTTAACAAGATGACCTTAACATTTTTGTGTAGATAGAATGTGTTACTTCGACATAACTGTAGACGAATAAAGGCAACTTGAAGCCTGATCCATTGCCAAACAGTAAGAACAGCCTTTTGAAAATTGCTGTATTTTTTCCATCCAGTGTAGCCTTTTACATGCCTTGTGTCTAAACAGATCCAGACAGACTTCAGTTGTAGTAAATCACACCCAAATACTCTTTAATTCTATTTGCTAGTCTTTATGAAACCCTCTTAATGAGTAATAACTGGTCAATAACAAGAGGCGGGCTAAAAATAGCTACAAACTGAGCTCTTGTTTCAGAGTGTTCATGGTGAGGATACATTCACCCTGTTATCCACTAGAGGGATGTGTTCATAATACAGTCTATGGTTCATACTCATACAATAGCCTTTCAGGAAGTAGCTACTAGAGTTCAAAAGCTTATGACAGCAGGTCTCGCAGTTTCCGTTCTACTTAAGTTTGCCCTGGTTTCACCATGAAGAAGGTGATACTGCAGTTTGTTTTAGGACCAACCAGGATAATACTCATGACCAGGATACTCAGTGTAAACTCACTCAATTTTATCGGAACTGGGGAGGTTATTTACAGCACTCATGTAGGCTAATGGGTAAAAATATGCAGAAAGGAGATATGTGAAGCAAAGTTGTGAAAATGTTTCAGTTATTTTTAATACCACATGTTTTAAAACGATTCAATCACTGTTGTGTTACTAGCCAAAAGTAGCCTACATGAAGTAAAAATAAAATCTACAGATCTTAAAGTAATATTGGTATCCAACGACTGCTGCAAGTGAAAGAGAGAGAACAGCGGTCGTTTCCATTTAAAGAGTACTTTTGAAGTCTCAAAAAGATGCAAATGTTATATTTATATCGCTCACAACCAGGAGTAGATTTTGGTAATTGATGCCTAGGCTGATAACACTGTTAAAATTACATGTGTGTCACATGTGTTCATATGAATTGTTGCTCACATACACAAACATACAGGCCTGTAACTGTAAGATTTTGTTTGTAACATATAAATATATTTAAATCTGATCTATAAAATAATAAAATAAAATAGGAAACAAAACAAATGAGTGGAAAAGAATATACATCTCATTTGTCTACTCAATTACATTAAAACCCATTAATAATTGTTAACTACTGCAGTCCATCAGTGTTTGGCCATAGAATTATTCAGCAGTAAAACAAAGGCAAAGTGCAGTTTTAGCCGTAAAACTGAAATGGTTAACCTGAATTTCAAATTACAATATGTTTCAAATTCACTTCACTTTCATCTAATCAATCATACAATTGGTTTTTAAATATAATTTTATACTTGTGCTTGGCAAACAAAAAACAAAAAAAGCTGGTTTTCTCACTTTCGCTTTGTAGGGCAGAATTGTGAAGAAAAAAATAGCCACATAGTCACGTGCAAGCTTCCTGAACACCAGAGATTGTACAACTGTTACTATAAGTTTCTTCACCAGAAACTATGCAATCAGTCACGAGTACAAATCTCATGATCTGCAGCTAGTGGAATTTGATAGGGATTTTCACTTTTTTCACTAAATAACCATTATATTTATTATGTGCTTTTCACAGAAAGTGTGACAGACCACATTTGTCTTAACCGTCTGGCTGTAATACTTCTCAGACTTTCTACATAATGTTACATAGGTTAAAATGGCACAATAGGGAAATGTTCTATTTTAGCTCCTTTAAGTGATAAGATATGAAGTACAGTGAAAAGGAACTGTCTAACTGTTACAAGGTTACAAAGCTAACCTGCTGTGTGCTTAACAATTGTTTTTATTCAAGGACCTACCACCAAGAAAACATAAAAACTATGTAGAGGAATCCTGTCTTGGTTAGCTGGAAAATATATCCTCAGTAAGACAAGTCAGATATGTTGTTATTTAGTTGTTATAGATACTATACATCTCACCATGATTCACTTTATTTTAAGCAGTGTGCTGTCTGCCTGGAAAAGCCCTGATGTGTTTGTCTGACATAGTCCACCACAAACCACAGTAAGAGATCTACAGCAACGTCCTCATTTCAGCCTGCTGTCTGTCCATCTGTCTGTCTGTCTGTTAGCTTTCTGTAGCCATCACTCTCTCTTGTCGGCTCTCTGCCTCTTGACAATGCTGGAGACGTCTGTTTTTAAATGGTGAGTAGATTTTCATTCCAGTCGTTTAACATGTTGACTAAAAAAGGTGCAGGGTCGTTCGTACAAGTAGAAAAGCTTTTATGCAAACATATCTTGCAATTATTAAAATTGATCGGGGTAATGCTCTAATGAACAGTCAGCTAATGTCTCGTGATTGTGTCGCTGTAAGATTTCATTATAATATTGAACTCAAAAAGCAAATAAATCATGTCTTCCTTTCTCCATTCTGTAAACATATGATGTGCTTTGCAAACATCACTGACTTCGATAGACTGATAGCTTAAAAATCCATCCAGACTTTGTGTACCTTATGAAGTACCAATGAGCATTGTGTGGCAAGTTACTGAAAATAATAACTTACTAGTACTTAATAAGTTACTTTCAAAGGTCATATATTCGCCACCTTTTCAACCAGTTAGAATAAGTCTCACTAGATACACTATTAGTTACCACAAATAGGAGTGGTGTTACAGTGTTGCGTTACTATGTCATACATTACACCGAACACTGCAGATGATAGCTTGATGCTAACACGATATGGACACTGGCTAACAGATTTAGCAACGCATTACAGGATTGTTAATTTAGGAAATAATCTTTTTTTTTTTTACTTAACATGCCTTAAAAAACAACATTAAATTCACTTGTGCCTACAGACAAATGTTTCCTAAACTCTGTGGAGACAAACTTTAAAAACTGCTGACTCATGCTATTCCGGTCTAGTCTGCTGTGATGCATCACTCGCTCTTTGTGTCTCAGTTCATGGAACATATCCCTCTGCTGCCCAAATTTGGGTGGCAGTCTGTGCCCATCAATGCGCCCACCTCTTGGGGGAGGTGACAATGGAGGCCAGGAGTGGTGGAGTCTAGCACCCAAGACTGGAAACATGTCACCATTCAGTAACTTAAGACATGTAGAACATTTAATATCTATATTTTTTATAGAAGATTATCAATTTTACTCAATAGCTACATAATATTTACCTTGACCTTTTTAAAGTTATACATATATGTATATAGCCGTTATTAAAAAAAGACTATTGTTAACAAAGCATGTCCCTTTTTAAGGGTCTGCACAACCATATAGCAGGTCCATTGCTAAGAGGCTGGTCATTTGAAAAGGGTGAAACACGAGTCCTTTGGGCGAGTGAAAGCAGATCCCTAAGAGCAGGGGTGTGTCCAGAGGGGTGGCATGGGCCCTCCTCATGCCACCTCAAAAAACAAATTTATAATTGGCTATTTGCCTACTAAGAGAGCAGATTTACAGTGCTCATAATAGTCATTTATCAGACGTCACATTAGGACTGGCTGCCTTGTAAAAGGAAACTAAATAGTCAGCAAGGTTTTCATCACTTCATTAGATGCCGATAAAAACAAATTAGACACTAAAGTGCAGATTACAGATTGTTCTTGAAAGACTCACTACACACTAAGGAGACCTTTATGGACATGCAAACAAGAGTTGTGTCAGGAGTATTTAAAGAGAAAATATGTTTTGGACACTGTTATAGAAATATTTCAATGAGAATATGAACAAAGACCAAGACCCAATCATCTTTGTGAGGTTTTATTCTGGCAAGAAGTTGCAAGAAGGAGTGACTGTACAGAGTGTATCATGGTGATCAGTCTGTAGCTCAAATGACAGAGAGACTGAAGACTCCTTTTATACATGTCAAGGAGGAAGAAACAATATTGACAAGCTCTGTTGTAGGAGATAAGCAGTTTAACACAAACGACCTAAACCTATCGAAGAGCAAATGTCCATGCAGAGTCATCCTTGTAGAGATCAAAGGTCTCGCATAACAGGATTTGTATCGGCCAGTTTAACCTAAAACAGCATTTCTTGAAACGTCAGTCAGATCACAACAGAATTATTTTAACACATAAACAAAATATATATTTTCCCTTTACAACACCACATCCAAGTCTTAAATGCTTTCACGCATTTTCACTGTCAACTGGTGATGCCTTTTTTTTCACAAGTTACTGCTCATCATGCTCACATATGGGTTTTGGTAGGGTTTGAATTATTCCATGTGAAGTGTTTTGAGATTTCTGATCTTCAAACATCCTGAGGGACAAAATTGTCCACACTCTGCAGAGAAGTTTCTAAAAAATAGTCAGTATAATAAGCACCTTAATAAGTGCAGCGTGTTAACTCTCAACAAATGCTTCAGTGCTTGCAGAAAGTATAGCACAGCTTCTTGTTGTTTTTTATGAAGGCAGACTTTTATAGAGGCTCCTTCCTTTCCTCTAAACAGTATCTCTTAAATCGCAGCCTGTAAGTGACACTTACAGGTCTACATCAACGGGCAAGGAAGAGACCATTTAAATGAACTGCTTCCTGATTTTAATCCAGTAATGGATTGTAAAGTGCTTTTGTCTTGCTGTTAAGGAGCATTAAAGGTGTCCACTTTCACTTTTGTCTTTGCAGTGAAAAGACCTCAAGGACAAAGGCTACACGATGGTTTTGTTTTGTGATGCTGTTCGTCATCATAGGAACTTCAATGTTCATTTTCTACAGTTCAAGCCCTCAAGTATCATGGCCATTGAACTTTTTGACAACAAGCTCAGGATCAAGCCAATCTACCCTCAATGTGTCCAATAATGTTGGAAGTGTAAGTATGTTTACTAGTCTTTGTTTCATTTAAAAAAACAACAACAAGGCACTTACTAAAATGACCAAGGCCAAGAAGATCCATTGATGTGGTTTGCTTTTCCTCTTTATCTGATAATAAGTCATTTGGATGGAATCACATTCAATAATTAGGTTAACAGCACTTAAATGTATTAAAAAATTATTATAAGAAATAACATTTGTAAATTATACACGGAAAAGATCACCAACATAATCTGGAACTGAAAATTGCGATTTACTGAGAAATCATATTCTTACCATAAACTACATAGATGGCTTAACAAATTCAAACAAACATACTCACCAACCATTTTGAAAATAATTAGCGATTTTGTGTTTCTTTTTTTTTTGGAAGATTTATTTTGGGGCTTTTTAACCCTTTATTTCAGCGTTAGGACAGTGGATAAAGTCAGACACTGGAGAAAGAGAGTGGGGAATGGCAGCAGAAAAGGAGCCAGAGATTGAATATTAATCCCGGCCACCTTCTCCTTGAATCCTCTGTACATTGGGGTTCACACACCAACCGTTAGGCTTCCAGTGCCCCAGCGCTTTCGTAGTTTTGACCCTGTGTACGTACCATTGTAAATACCTGAGCTAGAGCCAGGGCGTGAGATGAGAGGTCTCCAGGCTGCATCCATACCCAACACAAAATCCATAAAAAGGATTATTATCTGTGGTGCATTCATTGAATCTAAAATGGTATTCCCTTTCTATTTGGTCTGTACACATCTGCAATGATCCATAGCATGTCCTTTTATTTGAAGCTAATATTTGTGAATAGTAAAGTAAACAAGGAAACAGCAATGATATACCCTTTTTCAACTGAGATGCAATACTCTAATACCTCTGCACTTGCACAGATCTCTCCAGATGACCCTCCAGCATCAGAGTACTTTGTAGCATATCCTGGAAAGTACCTTTTCATAGTGGATGAACCAGATAGATGTCAGCAGGAAAGCCCATTCTTGATCCTTTTGACCCCAGTAGCACCCCACAACACAAAGACCCGTGACGTTATCCGCAACACATGGGGGAAAGAAACCACAGTGTTGGGTCAAAGGGTCAGCCTTTTCTTCCTGCTGGGAGTATCTGCACTGGAAGATGGGACAGGGCCCATTAAGAAGCAAGTGAGTTGACTCAGTTTTGCAAAACTAAATTGTCTTTTATCCCTCTGCATATTCTTGCGTTTTTGGTAATACTTTAATTTGATAGTCCATCTGTTGACAGTAGGGATGTAACGATACACTCAACTCACGATACAATCCACAATACTGGGTTCACGATACGATTTTCTCACGATTTATTTTTGCAAAATGAGAATGTAGATAAATTAAGACTGAAAAAGATTCCTTTAGGGGCTTCAAACCCACTTGTCAGTGTGGTTTGTCCTTTTTTCCTCACAACAAGGGGCGATTAAATGCTGCATCATGTTGGTTGTGCTATTTGTGTAGTTCCCCTTCTTCTGGTAACATTTGCACACAGTTTTTGTCTTGTCTGTTATCTTCTCGCCTCTTTCATTTTCTGTCTTGGGGAAGCCAAAATGCTTCCTCACCTCCAATCTAAAAGACGGTGGTGCAATCCTCAATTTCAAAATCTTGCTCTGCAGCTGCCAACCGCCCTCTGCTCTACAGCTGCTGACGCTCACAATATTATTGCGATTCATTTTTCAGAGTACCGATGTGAACCTTGACACCTTTGAATCGATTTTTTTTTACAATTAATCTTTACATCCCTAGTTGACGGTCAACAAGCTATCAGTATTCATTTGCATGTCAACATGCTCTCTCCAATGTTTTGAATTTGGACTGCAGTACCAATTTTAAACACAAGGTTTCAGAGCTACTTTAAACATTCATTTTTAAAAGTCCTATTCACATTTTGGATTGGTATGTGGCTATAGACATTGACTAATTTTTTATTTCATCAACTTTATAACTTTCACCAGGTAGCCACACAACTAATGTTGCTTCATAATTGTGCAAATGGGCAAATTTACATGTTGGTTTCATTTGCCTCTAAGTTTCCAAAATATCTGTTTACTACGGCTTTGAACACTTTCTTGTGATCTTCTTTTTTTTATAGATTTTACTGGAAAGCCAAAGACATCATGATATTCTCCAGAGCAACTTCTTGGACACATACAATAATCTCACCATTAAAACCATGATCATGTTTGAATGGGTCATTTCCCATTGCCCCAACAGTTCCTATGCCATGAAGGTCGACTCAGACATATTCCTTAATGTCCACAACCTTGTAGACATGCTTTTGAAAGCCCCCCGACATCTCTATATGACAGGACTGATTGCAAGGAATGCTACTGTTTTAAGAGACCAGAACTCAAAGTGGTATTTGCCAGTTTCAGCCTTCCCTGAATCTACATACCCAACCTATGCAATGGGACTGGGCTATGTGTTCTCGCTGGATTTACCAAAGAGGATACTGGAGGCGTCTGCACACGTTAAAGCTATTTACATTGAGGATGCATATGTGGGACTTTGTCTGAGACATTTGGGAATCTCACTAACTGATCCTCCTCACAGTGGTTTGTTCATGGTGTCAATTCCTCAGAGCAACTGTTGTTGGACGTCTGTCATTACAACAATACTACAGAACTATAGACAGCTTTTACATGTGTGGGAGACATATCAGACTCAAATCAAAAGTGGCTGTTAGTCACTTTTTTTTTGTAATACAGAGACAGACGCTGTAACGGCCTTATTTAACAGCACAGTATTTACAGCGATACACAGTTTACATTATGACTATTTTTATTTACAAGGCCTGGTTCAGACTTTTGATACTGAAGCGTTGGATTTGAAATATACAGTATATATATATATATATATATATATTCAATATTTATATGAAAGCTGAGCAGATTGTGGTCACAGTGTTTGGTCTTTCCAAAGATTGCACACATCAGTGTCAACAATTACAGTTAAGTCGTCTGCACTTCAAGCCCCCGTACATGTAGGGCATTACCTTAATTTTATCCAGATGAAAATTGTAACTTCTACTCAGGGTTATGTTGAGAATTGTACATACAGAAATGTCACTTGCAATACAAAGGGAGCTTCAAAGTGGCTATATGAAAGCAAAAACCGCACATGAAAATGTTATACCAAAAAAGCGTTTGAGTTTGACGTGATGAATATACAGTAGGGGTGTGCATCTCTCCTCTATGAGACAATTTGATCCAATTCATTCAGCTATAGGGCTACGATCTGATGCATTGGACGATTTAATTTAGTACGATGCGATCCATCTGACACCAATTGATGACTGATCAAAAGTAATTTGTGGTTTCATTTGTGTTTCATTTTTTTAAAAAACATGTCCTTGTGTTTATTACTTTTCCAAGACACGAGAGAATAGGCCTACTGTACAAACAAACATTTAACGCCAACATTTTGTGTATTACTTAAGAGTAATACGGCCGATAATGTTGGACAATAATAGCATATCACAGGACTATCCTTATCGGCTAATTTTATCTCCGATATGTGCCGATATAACTCGGTTTATTCAATTCAAGTTTATTATTCATTTTTACAACATTTTGTTTATAAATGTTAATTTCTAAGGTTAAAAAATGTTTTCAGTGCACTGTTGTTATTCTGGCAAATAAAGGCTTTAGTTCAACTGTAAAAAATTAGCATTTTCTTAATTAGAAATCTTTTTCACAAGTGTTTGGTAACAGCATTTGAGGGATCAACGCAGTAAATGTAGGTGTATATATCTATCTATATCCAGAGATTGAAGATAGGGTAGGGTAGGGTTAGGGTCAGGGTCAAAGAAAGATATCGGCTGATATTTTGGTGTCGTTTTTTTTCCAAAAAAGCCCCAAAAAATTCCATATCGGTTGGCCCCTATTATTATTTGAAGCGCCTATCACATGCCCAGGTGTGTCACTTTGACAGTTAGTTGGGGGAAGAAATATATTTAGTAAATAAAGCTGTTTTGTCTTCGATGCACTTAAGTTCAAATCGGTTGCTGATTCATATTGATTTTTCTCTAACTCTTCTTCTGTGTCATCCATATGTTGCATGGTCGTCAGATGTCTCACATCTGGTTAAAGGGCATTCTCAGTTACTTAGTAGGCAGAGACAAAGCGTGCAGCTTAGAGAACTTTGACCTGTAAAATGTGAACATCATCAGTCTTTACTGTATGTGTGGGGAACCATGTTGGGTAATTATTCTGACTACTTATCTATGGGTTTCATCTCTCCTGCCTCATAGGTGAGTAACAGGCACATATGTAAACATATTTACATGCTCTCTATAACTCTAAGCAACCTCTGAGCTGTAGCCCCCAACCATATGGTATCCATCAGAGGTGTGAAGAGTACTAATATATTCTAGTCAAGTAAAAGTACTGTTACTTTGATAACATTTTTATTAAGTACAAGTAAAAGTAAGAGTTTAAAAATGTACTCAAGTAAAAGTAAAAAAGTAACTTGTTTAAAATGTACTTTAAGTAAAAGTTACTTAGTTAATTTTTTAACAATGCAAAGATTTATCTTTTCAGATAAACATTTTCTTTTCTACCCCATTGACCAAAACAAAATATACATAATGATGAATAAATAATCAAGGATTATATGTTCAAGTAATCAGCTGTTTTATGAAGGGAAATGTTTAAAGGCTTTATATGCGATTTTCAGTAGATGTCGCCCTTGAGCAACAGCATGAAACCAAAACAACTTGCACTGCATTGTTGTGTTAGCATGCTAATGCTAGCGATCTTTACTATGCTCGTATCTTAACACTGCATGTAAATTTACCCGAAATGACCATGATCTAGTTAAGCAGTGAGTACAGTATGTTATTTTTCTTTTCTCTAGTCCCTCAATTAAACAACTTTTATACGTGAGAGGAGGAGTCAGCCGGCCGTCCTGGAGATATAAACAAACTGAAGATAGGACTCTGAAAACATCACAGATAGTGGGACTCGGGTGTTACACCCATTGTAGACAGTCATGACTCACAGAGTTATTTTCAGAGGATATATTTGATTTCAATTTAAGTGCGAAAAATCGCATATTTAGCCTTTAAACTATTTAAGAAAATACTAAAAGGATCTTTGTCTCAATCATAAACAGTGTAAAGAGTATTTTAGTGTTTTTAGTTTTATTATTCTGAGGCTGGTTAGTCTCAAAGACAGCCTCAAAGGCTGACTTAGCTGCAACTAAACCTGAGATGAAAGATAATCCATGTGTTGTTTTAAAATGAGCCGTTATGAGCTTAAATATTAGATGTTTTAGTCATTGTTTGATTACCTATTAGCTACTGAAGCTTCTAACTGAATCTCTTTGGTTTGAAGTATTTATTTTCACACATCTGAAATGTGTTAAGTTGCAACAGCTTATAACACCCAACTTCCTCATACGTCTGTGTAGCGGTTGTTTACTCCCCCTTGCGTTGTTTGATGAATCAGGCAAACACTTTGACTTTTGGCACCAGCACGCCGTTTAATCTGATAACAACAGAAGCACATACGGTCTCTCACAGCCACTCTTCTAGTAATAAGCTCCAACATTGCTAAAACATAAGAACAAATAATTGAGCAACCTGTTAAGCAAGCCACACCACGGAGATCAGAAGTTACATTTTAGCGAGCAAAACACACAACGTGATGAGCCTAAATGACTCAAAAACATAGTAATATGATCACAGAAAAGTTTTACAATAATTTAACATGTGAAATGGAAAAATGTAAACGAACATATTTTATAGTATTTTAGCGGAACTCATTTACACATAAACTTACCACGGGGACAGCATAGTGCAGACTGGCGAAGATACACAGGCTGCACCGCTTAAATCTGCAGGGGTACCAGCAGAGGGCGCTCATGTTAACCAGAGTCCCAGTGGATACTCATTAGAATTAATTATAAACAGTATTTAAACAATAGAAATAGGAATAGTCAAATAAAGACATTCTATGCCAAGTGATGGCAAGTGGAATCATTAACTCTGTTACATCTGCTTCAAAATAAAATCACATCACCGATATGCCAATTAGGGATTTTTACTGTGAAAAAACTTTCCGGAACCTAATGTGTTTATCACTCGGATTGTAGTCGCGAACGCTGCAGTGAGAAAAAGCATTCTCAGCCACTTCTTTGCCCAAGAGTCAGAACCACTGCTAACTTATTTTAATCATCTTGGACTTAAAGGTCCCATATTATGCTTTTTCTGGTTTTATATGCCCTTTAGTGTGTTTTCCAAGTGTCCTGTGTATGTTTAGGCACATCTATGTGCAAAAATCCGCGGAAACGTAGCATTAGCTGCATGTAACGCTCGGTTCTAGCCCCCCTCGATAAACATTTGTCAGTGCGGCGTCATTGTCAGTGTGAGATCACTGATCTAAGCCCATTGGCTTGTTGTGGCAAGCCCAGCAGCTCATGTTGCAATTTCCGAGACGCGTGCTGAGCAACTGACCAATAACGACAGAGCGGCTCGGCAGACCAATCAGAGCAGACTTGGCCCACTTGGGGTCTAACAGTGTGGGCTCAACAGAGTGCAGCTGACGGACTCAGAGCGTAGAGGGAGCAAGGAGGAGAAAACAGACACTTTTTTCAAACTTTATCTATTGTGAACGTACAAAAGTAGGTACATAGATTAAATATACAAACCCCTAATAGGGAATAATATGAGCTCTTTAAGACAATGAGACATCAGTTTATAAACACCTTCGGCAGGTAGACCCGCTCTCTGTCTCTCTCTCTCTCTCTGTCTCTGTCTCTCTCTCTCGCTGTCTCTCTCTCTCTCTCTCTCTCTCTGTCTCTGTCTCTCTCTCTCGCTGTCTCTCTCTCTCTCTCTCTCTCTCTCGCTCTCTCTCTGTCTCTCTCTCTCTCTCTCTCTCTCTCTGTCTCTCTCTCTCTCTCTCTCGCTCTCTCTGTCTCTCTCTCTCTCTCTCTCTCTCTCTCTGTCTCTCTCTCTCTCTCTCTGTCTCTGTCTCTCTCTCTCTCTCTCTCTCTCTCGCTCTCTCTCTGTCTCTGTCTCTCTCTCTCTCTCTCTCTGTCTCTCTCTCTCTCTCTCTCTCTCTGTCTCTCTCTGTCTCTCGTCACTCCGGTGCGATGAGGGAAAATCATTCATAGCAGGCCTATTTTTTTACTCAGTAACGGATGTGATTTAAAATGTAGCTAAATACAATACTTAACAGGAAACCTACTTAAGTAAAAGTAAAAGTACAGATTTTAAAAACGACTGAAAAAATAGTAAGTACAGCAAAAAACTACTCAATTACAGTAACGCGAGTAAATTTAATTTGTTACACCTCTGGTATCCATCCATTATCTATACCGCTTTTGCCCTTTAGATGTTGGGGGGCTGGAGCCGATCCCAGCTGTCATTGGGCGAGAGGTGGGGTACATCATGGACTGACATAGACAACCAGCCACACTCACATCCACACCTACAGGCAATTTATATGTTAGCATGTAGCATGTTTTTGGACTGTGGAAGGAAGCGGGAGTAGAGAGAACTCACACATGCATGCAAAGGACTTGTCCGAAGGGGATTCGAACCAGAAATCTCAGTGCCATGAGCGCTAACCACTGCAGCAACGTGCAGCCTCCCATATCTGGCATGTGAAGGACAATTTAAATATGATTTAATAAGTGAAAATGTTAACTATTACTTGAATAACATAAATATTGCATATGGGAAATCATGAAGCATACTACATTTTAAGTTATTATGATCATTTTCAAATTGTCCCTTTCATTCATTTTATTACCTACATGAAATGATAACAGTTTAAAACATACCAAAATTATATTGTTATAAAATATATTGTTTATCAATTTGCAATGGGACACAGCATAAAATAATTTCCTGAAATCTTTTTTTTTTTCACTTTTTTTTTGTCTCAGTCTGTTTCCTCCAACAGTAATTCATAATTTATTAACCTGAAACTTTTACATCGATTATTTTTATTATTTATTTTTTCGATATTTTGATAATTCATTATTTTTTTGTAAGCTTAGACATTCTTTGAAGTTTATGAAAAAAAAATGTTTATTAAAAAAAACGAATCACCCTGACAAACACTTTTGTAAAAGCAATTTCATTTCATGGAGAACTGAGCGGAGAACCTTTTTTTCCCTTGAAGTTGAATACTGTTGTAGCGGACATGAACAACAGCGCTCTCTTGTGGTAAGAAGGCAGCTAAGAATTAAAGTAAAATAGGAGAGAGTGACAAAGGAGGAGATTATGTGGACATGTTAAAAAAAATAGAAGTTTAATAAAGGTTGCTGTTATAATTTGATTTTTAATCACTTGAAAACAAATAGCATTTATTAAGATAGAAGCACAGCAGACTTTGAGTTGATGCTTTGAGGGGAGGACCCTGTAAATAATGTGAATAGGTTTGGTGAGAAGTGTTCTGTGGGTCTGCTTTTTGGACTAGCAGAGTGTTACACTGAGAAGACTGAGTGAAAATCCTGACTTGAACAAAGTGTATGTGGTCAGGAGGCAGTCATCACAGGCCTCAGCGTTATGTTGTCACTAGAGAGCTCTGCTTTGCAATGAAACATAAGAACTAAGTCAGACCAATGTTGAACTTTTTAAATGTTAGTACCTATTAACTTTTGTATTTAATATGAGAATTTTAAACTCAAGGCACATTTTCCTTTAGATTCTTATTTTGTCATTATTGCATTGTCAGCTAAAATTGTAATGGAAACTGAAAGAAGAAAAAAAAGAACAGTACGTGTTATCCATAGTTAGGCGTGTAGCTGACATGATTGACAGTTGGGCGGGATGTAGTGGTTTGTCAGGAGGCTTGAAACATTTGGTTCACTGAAAGTTAGGCTGACACAGGATTTCCAGCATGTCCGGAGCCACCGGAGCCCCCTGCAGTAACACATGGGTGACATGTGAGTTGTCCATTAATATTTGCAGTCTATGGTCTTAATACGTTTTGTTCCTGAAATCAGACCTTAATTCAACTCCTGTTGTCATCCAAACAAACCTTGATAACCTGTGTTAAAACAATTCCAAAACCAATCCATCCTCAAGATTGTTAAACTAAATGTCAATATCTGTAATCTGAAGAAAAATTCAAATGTGACAAGATGCTAAAATAAGCCTCTTCCCCTTTCCCTTATCCTCCGCCTACATTTAGCTTCTTGGACAAAAAAAAAGGTCTGACTTGTAACCTCTAAACTTGATCACAAGATGGCCTTCCAATGACACAAAAAAAAACAATAATGTTGCAGAACTTTGATGTAACTGCAATTCAATAAATGTTACTGTTACTCTAGCCGTGTGGATCTGTGTGATGATAAGACTCCTAAAAGGCAGAGACAAATGCTACTTGGAGTCTTGTTTAGTGGCCTGACCCAAGCAACTTGTTTTGTTAATATCAGCGCGAGTTTAGTTCAAATCATAGACTGTAAGTATTAATAGACAGAGTGACGTCACCCATCTGTGACGGCAGGGGGCTCTGGAGTCCCATCGATGCTGGAAATGCTAAAACAGCCTAACATTCAGTCAAGAGAGCTGGAGCTGAGGCGGGAATAAGTTTAAGTTTTAAGTTAGGTGTCTTGCCCAAAGACACAGCGGACATGTTGTTGCAGGAGCTGGGGATAAAAACCCCCTATAGCCTTTTCAGACATGCACAAAACTACTAGAAATGTTCTAACATCTTCTGGGTAAGCTGCATGTGCTATAATGTAAATGGACACAATTTTCTTAACAACTTTCTCTGAACTTCTTCCCACCTTTCACCCAGTAAAATCTCCGCAGAAAGTCGTGGTGAGCCAAATATATGGCTCTGTGGTGATAGAGATTTCAAGAAGATAAGCCATGAAGACAAACTCTTAAGGCAACAAGTACCAGCCAATCATCGTTCCACAAGGAGGCAGGATGTAGAATAGCGCTTTGTGAGAGAGAAAAAAAATCCACGTGTCACACTTATGTGTTTATATCAGTGAGGATGTCACTGTTAAGATAAGAATACTTTTTTTGCTCGGTTTATGACCTCACAGATAGTGTCATCTGATCAGACAAGGCAGGTTATAAATACACCCGGAATACACACACGTACAGACAGGGTCTATGGACTTACACATTTCTGTGTGTGTGTGTGTGTGTGTGTGTGTGTGTGTGTGTGTGTGTGTGTGTGTGTGTGTGTGTGTGTCTCCCAAATGCTATAACAAAGTGGAAAGTCAACTTTTCCCCTCTCAGAGAATACAGTGAGTATTTGCAAATACACAGAAACACACATGAGAAGAAAGAAATGATGAGGTGTAGAGAGAGAGAGACAAACAACCTCTATCAGTCTGGAATTTTTCTTATCCAATTGTTTCTCTGAATGTTGTCTTGTTTAGGTTGTTCAGTCTAGAAATGAGTCTTGTTCAGTCTAGAAATGAGTGTGTGTGTGTGTGTGTGTGTGTGTGTCAAGCAGCTGACCCTGATGTGAACAGGGCCACTGTGTCTTACCCACAGAGAGACCATTCTTCATTGCGACACGAACTCACCCTCTCACACACACACACACACACACACACACACACACACACACACACACACACACACACACACACACACACACACACACACACACACACACACACACAGAGCTATCCTCTCCCCCCAATCTCACTCTTAATTTGTAACATTCACTTAAAGACACAAAAACACATACAGAGGGTGCAAAAGACTCCCTTGCCATCGTTCTCTTCTTCTCCTGGTCTCACACTGACATACAACTCAGGCATAGTCTTGTTTCCCCCCAACAAAACCCCCTCTACACACTGGTGCGCACGCACGCACACACACACACACACATACACACACACGCACACTCAAACACACACCCAATTGACTTCGTCCCACCGCATAATGACACTGCTTCACCATTCTGACAGTGAGTCAATGGTGAAGTCAGGAGACTGGAATCTAGTTTTCACTTAAGTAAATTTTAAAAGCAAACAACTTTTTTTTTTTAAATAGGTAGATGCTCTTATTCAGTTTTGATTGTTCTTTGTCTGATAAAGACTGCAGCAAACTCTGCGGCACACCCAGATGTGTGCAGAGGTGCTAAGGCCTGTTCAGTGAGTGCAGACCTAGTTTCTTTTGTTCATTTGTTGTTTGAATGTATGCCATTTCTCATCTGTTCAGGAGACACAATTTCCCCTCTACCTATGAATTTTTAACTTTTAATTGTTGGGGACATCTAACAGGCTTTACACCTGTGATGATGCGAACAAATACACTGGGTGGGGAACACATTTGCCATGAAATAAAAATGTGGCTGTTAAATTAGGATAAAAACAGTGTAAAACTAACAGGTTGTGGTGATTAAATTCTTGCTTCATTTGCTTTTGCATGGCAGGGTCATTAGTCATGATGCATGCTGATGCACTGATGATGAGCATCGTGACCATCAGTTTTGAAACAAATTCTCCATGCCCTGATGGTGATCTCCTTTTCCATGTGCATGAAGCCTTGCAGTAGCTTTCATTGGATATCCATATATAGTTAAATGCACCGTGCTCTCCAGCCTACATGTGAATATTGCTGTATTCTTTGCTGTATTTTTTATTTTATCACTTTTTTTTAAAATACAAATCGCCCTTTTGATACACTGCAGGAACTTTGTAGGAATTCAAATTGTTAATGTGGTTATCTTGATTTAACAGAACAACACAGCTGTCATTGATAACATTTTACATCAAATTACTGTTGTAGCCAAATGTCCAATGCAAAACCTTTACTCTTGAAAAGGTAGGCTATTTTTTTTTTTTTTTTACAGTTTCAGTGTTGCATCTTTAGGTAGCCTAAATCTTTATGTTCAGAAAGTTTCAGGGAAGGGATATTTGACAGGTTACAAAAGAACATTATTCTATTTTATCTTTCAAATTCATCAATGTAACATCATGCACTTTAACTTTTAACTTTATTTCATTATTTTCTATTTATTTTAAACGTAATGTGATTAATAACAATGGCTGAGGGGAAGGAGGAAGACTCAACTCTTCTCCATAAAACACACTGTTGCTCACCAAAACATGGAGAGACTGTTGCTTTACAGCATTTGTGTCAGCTTTTTTCAGTGAACTGATAATGGACGCAGATAAAGAAGATGCAAATTGTCTTCCTTGTCGTGTGCTTGGAGTTGTTGCTAATTGTCAAGTTATCTGAATCGTTGTAAAGAAAATATACACGAGAAACACGGGGGTGTAGCAGTAAAACATGGTGATGGCTGTTTGACAATAAAGGGCGATATCCGTTTCGGACTTGGGCCTAAACATGAGTAAACACAAAAAAAATCTTATTTAAAATGTAGAAGGAAAAGGAAGTCATTTTCACACCCGAGTTGTGGATGAAAACATTTTTTTAGACACATTATAAAGTCATTAACAACTGCTCTCATTGAGAAAATGTTTTTACTAATATTTCTTCATCCCCGAATATATTTTCCTTTATCTAGTCTCTTCAAAAAATAGAAATAAACCACAAAACTCTGTAATTTCTTTTTTTTAGCTTTTCTGTTTAATGCTCTTATTTCTAAAGGAGTACCCGGATGTAGCCTAGTGTCTTTTCACGCTGACGCGCTTGACGTTGTGTGAGCTAAACTTCAGAATGGAGCAGACAAGAGGAAATCCCGTTAGTTTTTCAGTGAAGATATTGTAACAGTCCATGTCTCATCTACTATTATCAACCTAGCAAAGTTATTGACAGCAATGTCGAGAGAAAACACCACTCGGAGTTTGGACAGCATTGACCTCTCTGCTTTAAGAGTGAGTATAACTTTTGTTTCTGTGCTTTCTTAAAGAAATGTTGCACTGGGAAGATGTGGTGGGTGTTTCTTGGAGGGCTGTAGTGTTATTTCCGAGCAATAACTTCAAGAGCAAGTCGAGATTTATTTTATTTTCAGCGACGGTCGACACGAGCTTTATGTGTTTAGGTTTAGAGAAAACGTGTTCACGTTTGTTTATGATGTTTACTGAGCCTGGCACGCTGAAACGTAGGCTTTCTGTCTGTTCCTGTTTGGTGTTAGTTTACCGTTTCAAGCTACACACAGGACTTCTCCTCTGGCTGCTGACTTAAAGTTAACATGCAACATGTGAAAAACACACACAGAAAAAAAAAAGTATATTTAAGGAGACAGCTGTGTGAAGTATTCTCCTGAGTTGCACTTTTTAAATCCCAGTTCGAGAAATTCAACTTCTGACCAACTTTATGTACATTTTTTTGTTAGATCTTCGTTGATCTTCTGAAATCTTAGGAAATGAACGGAAGAGGATAAAGGGCCATTGAAAATAAAATGTTTGGGCGTCTGACTTTTAACTCAGAATAAAGATATAAGAAAGTCTGAATTTTGAGAAATAAGTAAAAAAAAAAAAAAACCAGAGTGTTGATATCTAGTGTCTTTTTAAGTGATAATAGGGAAACACCTTCAGTGAATGCATGACACATTGGCAACGTTTTCAATGTTTCCAAGCTGTGTTTTCATCCCCTGTGGCTCACATGGTGTTTACACTATCATACTGTTACCTGATGTGAACTTGTTGCAGTATAATTTGCTGAACTGTTTCTTTTTGTTTGACAACATTGTGTTTTTTTTTTTTTGTTTGTTATCAGGACCCTGCAGGTATCTTTGAGTTGGTGGAGGTGGTTGGCAATGGAACCTACGGTCAGGTGTACAAGGTGGGTCCGCTCATGATGCTTTTCTGTCCCTCTAGAGTTTCCATTTTCATACAAACAAACACATGTACGTCCTATATACCTATTCCAACATTATTCTCATGGTACCTATAGTTAAAAATATATTTCACTTGATGCACACCATGAGGTTAGCAGCCTTCATACATGCAGGGCCAGCATCTGCACTCGTCACTTCTGGTAACACTTACTCAAGATACTTCCAGTTAGTTTGAAAAACAACAACATGAAATTACCTTTCATCTGATATATCCTGTAGACAACACACACGCAGCTTACGCGCACGCAGCCACGCATATGCACACACACACACACACACACTCATCTACAGTTTCTGCTGCGTCTTTTAAAGGGCCTGGGTGGGGCTCACTTCCTTATCACAGTATCTGTTTGTGTACATGTGTATGAGGACTTTGTGGTTTAGGGAGGTGTTTCGTCTTATTTAGGTCCGTTGCAGCTGGTTGTGCCCTTGGTGCAAATCATGCTGCAGAAACACAAACTGAAGGTTACACCACCTATGTGGAGCAGCTCTATTTTCAAAGCAGTTCTGCACTATGCTCACATCAAGAATATCTATTACTGTAAAGAAATCTTAAAATCACTTTGTGTGTGTGTGTGTGTGTGTGTGTGTGCGTGTGTGTGTGCGTGTGTGTGTGTGTGAGCACGGGTGTGCCTTGATTGCCATTCGACTTCCTGAAAGGGGAAATGTTGTAAGAGATGCACCAGGGCACAGGACAGAAAGGCATGTGTTGGTATTTACAGGGGGTGCTTATAAACAGGAATAGAAAATTACCAACATCACCCTGTGACTAGAGATGTCCATTTCATTTATTTCTCATGTGAAAATTTGAGTTGGACAAATAGTGCAATACGGGATTTTTGCGTCGAGATTCTTTTATCTGTTTTGCAGATTTCTTCATGTTGCATATTTCCTGTGAGGGACTTTTGGTCTGTGTCCATTTTGGAGACCTCTCAGCTTTACCTCATCTCTTTTGCTGATTTTGTCCTATCCATGTGTAAGCGGTGTCTCCTTTCGTTATCAGCAGGTATATGGGGCGGCTGTGGCTCAGTTGTTAGAGTTGGGGGTTCGATTCCTAGAGCTACATGTCTGATGTGTCCTTGGGCGTCAAGACACATCACCCCAAGTTGCTCCCGCTGCTTCGTCGGCGGTGTATGGATGGGATAAGTTACTGCTAATGGTCACTTTACATAGCAGCCTCTTCCATCAGTGTGTTTATGGGTGTGTAGGTGTAGATGTGACCTGCAGTGTAAAAGCACTTTGAAATGAAGGATTTATAAGAAAAGTCAATGTTCTGGATCTCTCTTTTCAGATGATTAACAGCTGCAATATTTAAAACTGGCAAAGTTACTTTTAGTTTCGCGACCAGAGAAACTTCGACTGTATGTCCTCTTCATTAAGCACCGCACTCCAACAGCATTGGCAGAAAACAGACTACAATGTTTTGTGAGAGTATTCTCAGTTTGTTACCTTAATGAAGACCATGCAAACGTGTGTATCATGTGCAGTACACTCGTGTTTTGGAGAATAGAACTGAGCAGAGTTGCTTCAACAGAAACCAGCAAGGTTTTTTTTTTAACTTTAATTGGCCCCAGAGAGGGCTGCATGGTGGTGTAGTGGTTTGTGCTGTTGCCTCACAGGAAGCAGGTTTCTGACTCGAATCCCCGTCGGACAGGAGCCTCTCTGTGTGGAGTTTGCATGTTCTCCCTGTGCATGCGTGGGTTCTCTCCGGGTACTCCGGCTTCCTCCCACAGTCCAAAGACATGCTCTTTAGGTTAATTGGTGACTCTAAATGGCCTGTAGGTGTTAATGTGAGTGTGGCTGGTGGTCTGTCAGCCCTGTGATCGACTGGCGAACAGTCCAGGATGTAACCCGCCACTCGCCCATTGACAGCTGGGATTGGCTCCAGTCCCCCAATACCCCGGACAGGAAAAAGTGATATAGATAATGGATGGATGGATGGTCTCAGATGGTCAAAAGATGGAACTGTGGTCTAGGAAAGTCCAGTTAACATAAACAGAGACACCGAGATGAAATAAACAGTGATCATTGTGTTAAGTATAACACACGTACTCTGACAGTGATTAATAAGACACACTCTTGTATTTGTTTTTTGACCTATTCATAAACTGTAGTCAAAAAAATGTTTTTCTTCTTTCTAATCATTTTGACCAATGGTTAGGTTTTCGAACCTCGATACACTAATCTATCTCATGTGTCAGTATTTCAAAACACAACAGGACTGGATCATCCTGTTCTAGACACACATCCATTTTATGAATGGGATTACACCAGAATGCAGGCTGCTATGTAGTGAATAAGAGGTAAGACACCCGGCACAGGGATTCCCAGAGAAGTTAGGCAATGAGGCAAGAATTCAGACTGTGGCTGGCTGCTTATCAAGTTGGAAGAGTCAAGTGTTCATCATTAGTTTACTTCTCAGACGTTCTGTCCTCCTGCAGTGCATCTGTGTTTCCAATGAGTTGTCCAATTGTGGCTTAGTAAATATATTTCAACTATTTAAAAAAGAATCATGACTTAGGCTTGTGCTGCATGATATGTCGTTTGACTACTTGATAGTAAGGCAAATAAACGTCAACACTTCATGCTGTTGCTTTATTATTTATTGGTGCAAAAAAACAAAACATTGCCAGGTTCACAATTTGTCCATGACTAATCTACAAGACAGTCTGCAGGGCATCATGTTCATGCATCTCTTCAACAGAGCACAGAGTCAACCTGACCTCGGTGCATGCAGAGTCTGTGTCCTTATGAGATTCAAGATTCAAAAAACTTCATTATCTATCACATACTGACACAAAATTATCTTTTGTTGAGGCTCAGTAGCATGAAAACATCCAAACATTCACACTAAGACTCACATTAAGTCATACAATCTCAGAAAGTAAACTAAAATGTAAGAATGCTTGTAAAATGTAGATAATCAGGGAAAGCTGCTGCCGCCACAGAAAAGGGACGCTCAGGGCACGGTGTAGTTCTGTGTGAGTCGACAGACAGTGAGGGTATGTTTCAAAATGTTGCGGTCAGGCTTGACACACAAATGAACACAAGTTGTCAAAAAATGGTTGACGTTGACCTGGGAGATCTTTTTTTGTAAGAAAATAAACTTAATGTCCAAAACGTAAAAAAGTGGCATAGGTAATTATTAGTTGTTTGGATTTTCATAGAAAAATGTTATTTATTTGTGCATAAATACCTTTTCATTTGGCAACATATATTGAAGAAAGAATAAATATTGTAGTGTTGGTCATTTCACAAATATTTGCAGCGCTAACTTAGGACTCTGTTGGGGGGTTAACAGGCTTCAAATACAAGACGCTGAACTAAATGTATAATAGATTATATAATGTATTTTTATAGCATATCTTGTAAAATACTCACAAAATTAAAAAAAAAATGGCAGGATTTGGTTGGCGGGAAAATGCCAGCATCCTGATGTTGTGACTATTGTCTGAAGGGGCTGCTGTGGCTCAGTGGTAGCTGTCTCTTAACTGGGAGGTTTGGGTTTTGATCCCCAGCTCCTACAGTCACATGTTAAAGTGTCTCAACCTCTGTACCTCAGTAAAGCCCTTCCAAATGGTGACACCATGCTGACATCATGGGCTGTGAAGTGCCAGAAAACAGCTGCCGTTAATACATTTTTAGAGTGACTCACTTCGACTTCTTCTAATGCTACCAGTTTTTAGGATCACTTCCCATTTTTTGTGACCTACATATCATCCTTCTTACACTACTCAGGCTGACTGATGTGCTGACAAGCGTTTCAAAAATGCAAAAACGAAGATTTACACCAACAACCTAGATCATGAAGAGCACTAGAGTGTGATGTTTCAGATGCTATATAGCCATCAGAGCCTAGCACTCAACTAGTAATGAAGCTGGTTCAGTAGGTTCACATTTGCCCTTGGGGATGATGGTCACTTTACAAAGCAACCTATTTATTCATATATACATATACACACTAATGCATTGCTTTGATCCTTCAAATGCTTTTATCCAACACTTTTGAAAAAGATTTATAATGTAGACTATTTTTTAGAGTTGAACTTTATTTGCCAGAATAATAACAGTGCACTGAAACACTGATTTTTATTTAGAAAAGAACAATTACGAATACAAAAAGTTGAATAAACTTACTTTTATCTGCAGATATCAGAGATAAAATAAGCCTTTACTGTAAGTTACGTGACGTGCTACTGATATTATCGTCCGATTAATTGGTCAGGCTCTAGTTCCATGGTTTGTACAACTCAGTTATGCAAACAGGTAATAATCATGTGTAATAATCTTTGTGGCACGATTGTGCAAAGTCACATTGGTGTTTGATCTGAAGGAAAAGAAACAGAAAGAAAGAAAGCATTTTCTGAAATTGTGCGGGGTTTGTATTTGCTTGTTAAAGGTAAAAGTAAACGAGAGGAGGCAAAGGAACCAAGACAAAATAAGACGATGAAGAGGAAAGAAAGGAAAGTGAGCGAGTGAGAAAGGCCCAAGGGAAGGAAGGCAGAGGTGAAAGACAAAACGACAGAGAGGAAGAGAGGAAGGAAGAGGGAGAGTGGCCGATGAAAATAGAGTTAGAAGAGGAAAGTGCCCCCCACCAGGCTCATAGCTTTGCTTTGTGTTGATTGCCTGTGTGTGTGTGTGTGTGTTTGTGTGTGTTCCAGTGTCAGTGTGTATGTGCTGTTGTGTATCCCAGAGTCTTGAAAATATGGGGGAAGTCAACCAGAATATCCTTACAAGTGACTGGTCTCTTTACTTTCTAAATGTTTAAGGATAATTAAAAGTACAGCAGGAATTCAGAACACACTGCCATGAAGTTAGATGAGCTGAAAAACTATCAGTGATCTATTTATTTATCTTAATTAACAAACCTGTTATAATTGATCAGAGTGACAGTTTAATGTATGGCCTGACAGTGTACCCATGAGCACAGTAAAGACCAGTTCACTTTCTAAGATCTCATTCTCATCCTATAAAGGAATGAGAGAGATCACCACTGTAGTCAGTATAATGTCAAACCTGTGGAGCCCTCTTAGCTCTGTAATCACAGCCCGTAAAGATTGCAACTGAATCTGGGAAAAGGTTGTTCATTTATCAAAATGTACACCCAGGGATGTCCATCAAAGCACAAAGTACACATATGTTACTAACAGATTGTATGGGACTAATAAAGAGACACAGCAGAGGGAGATGGGAGAGAGACAGCTTGAGAGAATATCACTCCGAGAAGTTGGAGTCAGTCAAGCATTATTCATACATTAGATCTTTAATGTGTCGGCATTATTTCATGTATGTTATTGTCATACATAGATGCATTAGTAACCTTTCATTGACATCATATTTGTAGTGCACTTATAGTTTGACATTATTTGTGTGTGTGTTTGTGCGTGACCCAACGTTAATCCATCATGAGCACTAAGCAACATTTAGCAAAAGTTACAGTGGCAAGAAAAACGTCCATTTAAGAGGCAGAAACTACAAACAAAGGGGGGGAGGGGGGTCCTCACCAACAATCCTGTGCGATTTCCCTCTGGGTACTCTGGCTTCCTCTGAAAGAAATGCTTGTTAGGTTAATTGGTGACTCCAAATTGCCTGTAGATGTGAATGTGCCTCGTTTGTTTTCTCTGTAATTGACTGACTACCAGTCCAGAGTGTACCAATGACAGCTGAGATCGGCTCAAGGCACCGCAACTCCAAATGGGATAAGCAACAATGGGGTGATGTGTGCACTAGATCCCACTGTTCAAAGTCATAGACTGTATAAAACATGGATGTAGTCTCAGTGATGTCACCCATTGTTTTCTGATGAGGGATTTTGAAGTCCGAACAATGGTGGTCGACATATTGGAAATGATATCTCCACCTAACTGTTATTCAATCTGTTGGAGCTGAGGCGGGCCTCCAGCCTTCTGGCAAACAGCTACAACACGTCCACCCGTCAGTCACTTCAACCAAGTCGATGAATATATGCAAAACTATGAACAACGCTTAGCTTTAATAAATCAAAACAGATGAACCACCTGTACAGTGTGTGCCAATAAAGAAATGAGCTGTGGCCACTTTATCATGTTTTTTTCTGTTGTATTAACATGGGACATAATGGGGATTCCCTGGCTTTTTTTCCGGCCAGTCTCAAGTGGACACTTATGGAACTTAGTTTTTTTTCACTTCCGCATTGGCTTCATTTTTCAACATCGGAGGTTGCTGCTTCTTCAAACCATCATGACTTCACAGATTAGTTTGTTTAACATGTGAGCGTATGCTTGAGAACTTTAATGCTTGATTTACTCAAGAGTGAGTGAGACAATTTCATCGATTGATCTGTTCAATAATGCTTTTGACTTATCCAAAGATTTAGTCATCCACTCAGTACATACTTAAACTCAAGTAGAATACATACAATACTCACATGTTTTAAGGATCTCTGAACTTTATTACATCACAGTATGGGCACTAGGATCTCGGGTATGATTTGTTTGTATTAAGTTTGTTTCTGAAAACTGGATATGCCCTTAACTAATCCTGGGCGATATAACTAAAATTGTTATCACAATGAAAAAAAATCACATCAGTCAAAATCAATAATTATCCAGATAAATGTCAAATCATTATTTCCTTCAAAATAAAGTCTGATTTTGCTACTGAATAAAAGTTGAAAAAAAAACAGATGGCTAATTTTAATTGCTCTTTATTGTCTGTCATAATAAACTGTAAAAGGAACAGAGGAACATTTGTCAATCATCTCAATCATTAATTATTAGAAACATGCCGAGGCTTTTTAGAATCAGCTATATCTGAACCCGTTCGCTTGCCCGCTTCCATCGCTACAACACCTGTTGGTTTGCCAAACCAAGGGTTGTCCAAAACGATCGTGTGTAGGTGCCTTAAAACCGCCAAACAAATACAGACCAGTCAGGAGCAGAATCTAAAGTTAGAAGGAGGACATACTGATGGCTGCTTTGTTGTCAGAGAAGTCAGCACTTCAACACAGCATGTTTTCATGTCTGATGATATAGTGAGGTCATTTTATCATTTGATTTGGTAGATATCTTACATATTGCTCCTTTAATGCTTGGAGAGAGAGAGCAAACTGGTGCGGAGTCCATCCTCTTAGCAGGTCTTCCTGTACATAGCAGCACGATGAAGCATAACTGCATTGTGTGCCAAAACCTCTTGTATTAATTGTGCTACACTTGCAAGAAATAACTATTTTTTGCGCCATTCTGCAATTCTGTGCTGGGCTTCAGGCCTTGCAACATGCAGATTGTGTTATAACTTACATGTTAGAATTACTGAGTTTTAGTTCTGGGAAATTTTTTGAGAATTCTTGAATGTTGAAATAATCGATCGTCATACAGGTTTCAACATCCCCCATGGCCTACATTATGATGTGGAAATGTGTCCTATCAGACATCCTTTTTTTGCCAGACAGTGTACTTTACAAAGATTACTCGGCACAGATAGGCAAATATTTAACATGACGAAGTCCTCCATCCAGTCTTTGTCTTAAGGCTTTTCTCTTTGTCTATACATAAATATTATCTGACTTATTGAGTATAGTGGTAGTATAATGACCTTGGGTGTAACACACACACACACACACACACACACACACACACACACACACACACACACACACACACACACACACAGCCCTGTCATACATCAGAGCTTAAATACACTCTAGTATCTTGTCAGTTTTTTGACTCATGACAACGTTTTAAATTTTCCCCTTCTCACCTGACAGAACTCTACAGCTCTGTTTCTCTCTCTCTCTCTCTCTCTCTCTCTCTCTCTCTCTCTCTCTCTCTCTCTCTCTCTCGCTCTCATCTTCCTCCGTCTTCTGTGCCTTCATGAAGAAAATAGAATTTTCTAGGTAGAACCATTTCTTGCATTGAAAATGATCACAATCCAAATATTCACACTGAAGAGTTGATGTGGTGTATGCGTACAAATAAAGTGATGGACTCACTACTGTTTTCGATTATTGGGTTGATTTTATAACATTGGGTGCAGTAAGACAGATTAGGAACCTGCACACATGTGATGCACACTGTTGATGCACGATTACCTAAACACCTTTGTACCTGTGAATGAATGAATACGTTAAGGAAGGACATTGAAATGATCATCAATTTAACAGTAAAGTATTTACACCCACTTTAGTCAAGACCATATATATTACCATATACCATGATATTTAGTAATTCTGTATAAAGCTTGTTTATAAAATAATTAAAAACATTATGAAAGATACTACACTCTGTTAATCAGTTCATCCAGCCTTCAGTGCATATATTCATAATGAACTGCTCACAGTTCACAAAAGTAAGGCAAAATCTGAAGGCTTGAGCCCTGCAGTGAGGATCTGTTGGTTCTCTTTGGTCATATTTGTAGTATGGTTTGGGTTCACTTGTCCTCTAAGGCCCTGTTGACCCTGAGCGCCAGCGTCTTGTTTCAGTTGTTTACAATGAGTAGAGCGCGTCACCAGAAGAAAAAGTACAGCACCCAGGGCTGCTCCGAGCGCTCAAGTTGAAAATCTGTCAACTTTTCAGAAAGGTGCTGTTAACGTCACTGGCGCTCTTTTCCAAATGTATGATATTCCACGCAGTTTTGTGTCTTGTACCCACATCCTCTTCGCTCCGTGTCTGATCGTGAAATAAACAATGGAAAGTTTAAAATATAGGGAGGAAGGAAATCCCTAGCCAGCAGCCAGTAGCTGGAATGCTGACCTAGCTAATGTTAAGGCCTCAAGAAACACAGATAATGCAAACCACCGCACACACAGAGGAGCAGTAGTCACACAAGCTGCTCTCTGTTTGTTTGTTTTTCTCTATAAATGTCCACTAGGAGCAGAGTCTGAAAGGATCTAAACAGAAAGACAGGAACTTTTAAAGCTATGAAAGATGTCCAGTCTTTACAAATCATATAGTTTGTTTAAAAATAAGGTCTTCGGATTTGAGAGGAAATCAATCCTTTAAAAATGTTTACATAGTCTGAGTGCACATATTCAGTTCTATCTCGACTTTCCCCTCCAGTTTTCACCTGACTGTGTGTTTCTTGTTTTACATGTTTGTTTTTTTTCCTACAGGAACATACTGAAACATGTAAACTGGTGGAAAAAAATCCATATATTCTGTGTTCAGTTTTTCTTTCTATTTGGGTCTTAACTTTTGCTCATGTATTCCTTCAGGGTCGTCATGTCAAGACAGGCCAACTGGCAGCTATCAAAGTCATGGAAGTCACAGAGGTACGGACTTATTCACGTTTCCTTTCTATTTCTACTTTTCATTTCTTCCTTTGTGTTCTTTGTCTCATCTCTGGTGAGACAAATGAATAGTTAGGTAAAACTCTAACTGTGAAAAATGTCTTCAATGTCATCATAGGCAAGCTGTCAGTGAATGTTGATGACCTATAAATGATATTAGTAGAGTGAGCTGACCTGGTTTGAAATTGCAAACCACATTTCTGATGTTTTTCAGTCAATCAGATTCCTTTTTTTAAGTTTGGAGCTTGGACGGTATAAAACAGAACTATAAGTGCTTTATAATCTTTTTGACACAATTCACACACATTGGGACCCACTGAAAACAGCTCCGCGACCCACTTTTGGGTCCCGACCCACCAGTTGAGAACCACTGCACTATAGGATTATAATATAAGAGGCAAGACAAAAGAAAGTAGAGACTGCTAGACAGTTATTATGTGGTGTGTCGGCACCTCTGATTTTGATTTAAAAATTGAAGGAGCACACAACACAGGAGAAAATGTTTTAGAGAGCTGCATGGGAGCAAACGATCAGATTATGGAGGGTTTATAGGACATGGCTTGGGGCTTACAGGTGTAGATCAGCAGTCACTGTAAAAGTGTTTTAATGTGGGCTAACAACAGCATGATGCTGCAGGTTGTGAGACGTTATGCTGTGCCGTGAGGCAGAGAAGCATTTTAGGATCAAATGTGGCCCTTTTCTGGACAGGCTGTGTTTACCTCAGAATATGTTTGTTGTTATAATTGGGAGGTTATATGAATGTAGTATCTGACAGAGAGTAAGGAGTATGTGAAGGAACATTGCACATGTTTAATGTTTAACATGATAAAGACTATAAAGTGGATGTTGAACATTTTAGTCATCATTCAAAATGTAGTATCTGAATTGTAAAAAGAATCCTTCAGGATGATGATGAACATTAGAGACTTGTGTTGAGATGTTGCACTCCGCATGATAAGACAATGCATTTGGAAAACATGAAATTAGCATGAATACGCAAGCTCATATGTTAAACCAAAGTCATTACCATGGTAAACATTATACCTGCTGCTCACGATTCATGAATGATTGGGCTGTTTGTATTGCCAAACGTTGTTCTTTTTATTTACTTGGATTCGTTCCTTTAACTTTTTTTTTAATATCTAGGACAAACCAAGACTTTTGAAGACATCACACTGGGCTTCAGAATATAAACGTTGATATATTTCACAATATTTATTGTTTTTTTTATGTAATTTATTTACCAGATTATTCTTTGGCCCCTTTCCTTGTTGATGGGACTTTTTTCTCTGGGACAAAGTGTTTAACAGGAAATGCTTGGCTATTATCTCCCTTCTCTCTTTTTGTTACACACACACAAACACACACACACACACACACACACACACACACACACAAACACACACACACACACACACACACACACACACAAAGGCAGATGGCTTTGTGTTTCAGTTGGAGGTGAAAGTTCAATCTTTGCCTTGTCATTTTCTTCCCTTCTGTCGTGTGGAGATTTAAAGCAGGTCAGTGACTGGGAGAAGCTCTTTGTCATTTCCTCTGTGGTTTTCTGATTAACAGCCACACATACAGATCCTCAATCTCAACCCTCCTTCCTCCACCTCTACTCAAGCTCAGTATAGATTTAGGGGTTCACTGCATTGGAGGAGTCAGAAGTCACTTCCTGGATCTACAGTGATAAAACAAACAAAAGAAACTACTAATTCTTCTAGCCTCTGTTGTTAAATGAAGCCGGGTGAAAGGTTATCAAGAATGTACACGACAGTCTTGTTAGAGATGCTTTCTATCTGGACACAGCCGTATTCGTTTGTATGAAATGGGGCGGCATTAGCTCAGTCTTTAGGGACTTTGTGAACTGGAGGGTTGTCAGTTCAAGTCCCGATGTGGATCATAATATGGAAGTTGGTCTTGTGGGGCTGAACCCATATAGGATTTTTGGGGCCGATGTTGACATTAGGGAGCAAAAAATTCCAACACCGATATCAGCTGATATCTTTCTTAGAACTATGGAGTGAGACTGTTGATCTGGAGTAGTTGTACGTCCTAGCATTACACTGAGTTCTCTAGAACTCCTGAAAATACATCTCTGACATGGATGTTTTCTGTTCTATCTGTTGTTTTGTCAAGGAGGAAGAGGAGGAGATCAAACTGGAGATCAACATGTTGAAGAGCTATTCCCACCACAGGAACATTGCGACTTATTACGGAGCTTTTATCAGGAAAGGTCCTGCTGGACAGGACCACCAGCTCTGGGTTTGTTGCTATCTGGTTCAAAATGAAGACAATATGACTTGTTCTCACCTTCACCTAGTAGTCACTCTTGTTGTGTCTGGTGCCTGTGTGCTTGTGAATAATCTCTCTCTATGTTAATCTTTAGTTAGTGATGGAGTACTGTGGAGCCGGCTCTGTGACAGACTTGGTGAAGAAGACAAAGGGGAACTGTCTCAAGGAGGACTGGATAGCTTACATCTGCCGAGAGGTGCTCAGGGTAAGTTTCATGTAAAAAAAAAAAAAAACACACACATGCTCACCACAGCGTACATGTGCCAGTACTTGACCCTACAAAGGCCTGGTAGGCTCTGGGGTCAGATAGGCAACATAAACCTTTTTGTATAAGGACTTTATTTATCTATATCCTTTTGAAAATGTGTCACCTTTTACAAGACCATAAAATAGTGATAATAAACAGAATTTATAAAACATGTGCTTCACAGAAAATCTAAAAAGTGTTTTGGACTCAGTGAAGAGCAGTGCAATGAGTCAAGCTGCTGCTCTCAGAAGTATTCCTTTAAGGTCACTTTGACATATGAAGTCCGGTGGACTCAGTGAGATTCAGGGTCGAAGAACAGTATTGCATTTTTCATTTGGTCGGTTTGCTTTCAGACTGAACTTTGTCAAGCGCACCAAAGCCTTTCTAATGTTGTACTGTAGCCACCCGTCACTAGTTGGGTTATACATGTGACGTTGGAAACATCTGAAAAGGAAGTTTTCCGAGTTGTAAAAAAGGACATGAACGCCTGCTCAAGTCAGAACAACAATTTGGAAACCTGGGAAAGAAATAGGTTTCGTCATCAACATGGGGGACAAAAGATGTTTTGTTAATGTTAAGATACTTTTTTTTAAATGTATGTATGCACATCAACGTTTTGCTCAGATATAACTTGTAACAGAGACATTAAACGCATCTTCTTTTTAGCATCCATGCTGTTTGTTGTTGTTACAGCTAGGAACCTGAATGCAGCATGTAGCTCTGGTCAGAGGCTGCTGCCATCCAGCCGAAACTGCACTATGACCTGAAAGTAAACAACAGGACAGTGGAAGAATGGCATCCTGTAGTGCGGCACAGTTTAGCTGTAATTTCATTGATAAACTGGAGATAAAGTTATATTGTGCTGTGTCAGGCTAAACTGGCATATCAACCAGAGCGATGTGTAAAGTGTGGTTAACGTTACAGACGACCAAATCAACTCACAGTGCACTGCATTTTGATTCACTTCCCTAATTTGGTCTGGAATGTGTGAACCCTGTTTTTAAGCGGACCAGATTAGAAACCATGGCCGCTGATATAACCGCCCCAAAAAGCAAATGGATTTAATCAAACTTTTAATTCACCTTTCACCTTTTTGATCTCCATGAACTAGTCTGTTTGACTTTGAATTAAAGAGCCAGATATGACCTGCCTTGTATTCCCCCAGCAACGAGCAGAGTGTAGACATCGTGTAAAGTGTGACCTGTGTTTCTCTTCATTGTTTATCCAGAGCGCACACACACACCGGTGCCAGCCAGTTTTATACTTTAGTACTCAATGTGGCCGAACAAATAAACACATGTCCACTACAGAGAAAGAATTACAAGATACCTTTTGTTCCGAGGTGTTGCTTCCTGACGTGTTGGTTCAGGCTTTTTTTAAGTTTGGGAAAGGTAACAATTTGCTAAACTAAACGCTGGATGAGATTTTGTTGTTGCACTGGAAACCTAAGGCCCTGTGTCCACCCAGAGTTTTTCATGGCAGAAAAGTGCTTGCTGTGCCCTCAGGAGCTCTTGCATGAAGCGTTAGCACTGGAAGAAAAGCGCTGCACGTCCATTCTGTCTCCATGACCACAGACTGTTAACAAAGGCAGCTGTATAACCGACACTGCTCTGTTACTTTTTACTGTATGTTTTATATTTGAGTTTGTTTATTTCCCGTTCAGACACAGAGCAGAGAGGATGTGAGTACCAAACACGATCTGTAGTTGTCAAAAATACGGGAAATATCATTTATTTGGGGAAGAGCGCCGGTGACGTCAACAGCACCTTTCTGAAAATTAAAAAAAAAATTCAACTTGAGCGCTCGGAGCGGCCACACAACAAAGGCGGAGCGCTCTGAAAAAAGACGCTGGATGCTGTGATTTTTTCTTTAATAATCAGGCATCAGTATCTTCTCATGTCTTTCCACTGTGACTCTGAGGGAAATCATCTGTTTATTTATTCCTTTTTACTCCAAAGGTCAGTTTAAGACACATGTCTGTGCGATGTTGTGGTTATCATTCTAAAAGTTCATAAGGTCCTGAGAGAGACCCAGAGATGTTTGTGATCATTTCTGTGTTGGTGTTTATCTAAGTGCTTCTGCACATACACAACCAATGAATACACTTATTTCAACTCAGTTTCAGCATCTCTGTCCTGAAGGCCGACATCATCAAAGGATAGTGGGATGATTTTCCTGTATTTAAAGTCTTGAGAGACAAAAGGCGCTGGACTGTGGCCAGTGTTTTCCCTCGTGCCGTCAGCCAAGCTGTCTCCTTATTGTTTCAACACCGCAGTGTGCACACACACTCACACACACACTCAGCACAACATGTTGAAGTCATTGTCTGAAATAGGACTCACTTCCTCTGTTTATTTTACCTCCTTTGAAGAAGCGAGAGTCCAAACACATTCACAAACACACACACAGGCTAACATGCATTGAACTGTGCTAACTGGTAGCCTGGGCCACTGGGTCACCCTGCTACCCCAAATGAGCTTATTTAACATGTTCATGAGAGTGAAAAGTATTGCAGCTGGCTCGATATAAACAGTACTTTATAGTCAGGCTTCTTGCAAATAAGCACATAATGCTGCTACTCTTTACAAGGCACCACACATTTCTGGGGATAATGGTCATCTGACTCGCTGTGTATCGATGTGGTAATGTGTGTGTGTGTGTTTATTTGTCTTCCTGCAGGGTCTTTCCCATCTTCACTCCCATCATGTGATTCATCGAGACATTAAGGGACAAAATGTTTTGCTCACAGAGAATGCCGAAGTCAAACTGGGTATGACGCATCAACGCATGCATTGTGGTTTTTTTTAAGCACTTCTGCTGCTTCCAAGCAACACTGTCGAACAATCACACAGTCAAACATGTGTATAAATCACAAACCACACATAGAAAAACATGTTTCAAGAAGCAAAGATTGTTTAGTAAATTGTCCCTCTTTTTGTTTTGTTGTTGCTTTAGTTGACTTTGGAGTGTCGGCACAGCTGGATAAGACGATAGGTCGAAGAAACACCTTCATTGGTACTCCCTATTGGATGGCTCCGGAGGTCATCGCCTGTGACGAGAACTCTGAGGCCACATATGACTACAGGGTACTTAACTCCTCAGAAACAATCATGTTTTTCATGGTTTAAAGCCCTCTATAAGTTCTCGTTTGGGGAAGGTATAAGTGAGATATCCAGCAGAATATCAAACAATCAGTCCTTCTGCAAAAGTGTTGGTGTTTTGAACTGTAAGGTAAGGTAACTTTATCTGTACCCGTAGCTAGATTTGGTTTACAGCGAGTGAGTCGGCCTCCAGGACAGGACAAAACACGATCACGTGGCAACAGTCCTCAGTACTGAAGAGAAAAGCCCATCAGTAAAAACAAGATAAAGTAACACGAGTAAAAAGAAAAATTAGTCAAAAAAAGTTAAAAATAAGCTAATGCTGACCGTGAGTGATGTTTGAAGGTAAAACTTAACAGATATTAGTGGTAACATTTTAAGGTAGATATTAATCATCCACACCCAAAGTAAATGGTAAATGGACTTGAGCTTGTTTAGTTCTTTTCTAGTCTTCTGACTACTCAAAGTGCTTTTACACCACAGGTCACACCTACACATTCACACACTGATGGAAGAGGCTGCATAGTAAAGAGTCCATCAGAAGTAACTAATTCATACATCTTCATGGTGGATGGTGGATGAAGTGATAAGGGTAGTCACTTAGTATTCTACTACTTAAATAAGCCTTATATGTTCTCACTTTTCATAATAATAGGATCAATGCATCTCGCCAGGGCACTTACATTCCTTCTTACAGGGCCATTATCACCTGTACCTGCTGTACAATATACTGGCACCTGGGAACCATTTTCACCTTTCTGTGAACGAGCCCCCCCCCCCCCAAAAAAAAAAAAATGGTAGTCAGCTCTATCATTTTTGTCTCCATGTCATCACACAGTTCACAAACAGGAAATGAAAGAACGCTCCGATCTCATCTTTTTCTCTTACCTGTCGTCCACAGAGTGACCTGTGGTCTTTAGGCATCACTGCTTTGGAGATGGCTGAAGGAGCCCCTCGTAAGTTAGACATACTTACAATGTTGTTGTTCCGTTTGCTTTTCTCTACGTATATTTTCACTCTGCATTTTTTTTTCTTCATCCTTGTAACCCTTTGTATTCCTGTCTTTTATTTTTTCTTTCCATTTCTCTTCCTGTTTATTCCTAAACCCCTCTTTCTCTCTCAGTCTCTAACTCTGTCGTCTGAGTGGTCAGTAACTCTCTTATTCCCTCTCTTATTTGTTCATAGCTCTGTGTGACATGCATCCAATGAGAGCTCTGTTTTTGATTCCACGAAACCCTCCGCCCAAACTGAAATCAAAGAAATGGTAAGCCTGCGCGCACACACACACACGCACGCGCACACACGCACACTCACAGGATTCACAGGGCACTGTTTCGGTTTTCTCTTGTGGAAAGAAAAACTTTCAAGTGCCCTTTATTGTGGGTTAGATGCACCAGCCAATCAGACAACGTGTGTCACAAAACTCTCTTCTCAGGAGGGAACTGAAGACTCAAAGTCACTTGTCATGATCTGTAGGCGTCCAGCTAAACCTGCCAACTGAAATTGGCATTTTTTAGGAAAGACATAATAACTAACGGCCTCTGTTGACGTGGCCATTTTTATTCTCGTTCATTTTTATCAACCTGTCTCTCTCTCTCTCTTTATTTTTTCTCCTCTCCTCTCCTGTCATCCTGTCTCCTTCTCTTCTCTACCATATATATAATGGATAAGTTTGCAGGACAGCTTGCAGGACAGCTTTTAATAGCTCCGATGGTCTGGGGTTCACTGTGCTTTCAAGTCCTTTTACCTCAGGGCCTCCCCAAAGGCAGCGAGCACACCGAAAAAACAAGATGCAACACATACTCCTCCTTCTTGTTCTTCGAGTTTAGCACACAGGACGCACACCTCTTAGTAGAGATTTCTTTAAACACATTTTACCTCAATACACCTTTCAACTCAACATTTCTGACAGGATGATTTTGGGTTATACTCCAACAAGTGTTTTTCAGCTTTCCCACCGTTTGGTGAGTTTCAACAGATATTCAAGCATTTCATGAGATTTCAGTGATTTTTTTTATCCATATTTGACTGCTGCTTTGTTTGTATGTGTCCATCATGTTTCATTGTTAGAAACATTTTCTGTATTCCTCTTTTCATGTTATCATGACTCAACATTTCTGACTGACTTCATAGACAGCTGAATGCTTTAGGATTGTGTTTATTTAGACCTCTCATATAGGAAACCCTCTCTTAGTTATAAGGAATTTTTATTTGTACATCACCAATTCACAACAGGTGTTATCTAAAGGGGCTTTACAAAAGAGCAGGTAAAAGACCTTACTCATTGGTATGTTACTAAAGAAAAATGGGATAGAAGGAGATGGGATAAGATGCAGGAAGTATTTCTCCTTTGTATTCCTCACATTCCTGTTGTCCACACTTCTTGCCGCTGAGGTGGAGGACGGAGCAGTCCGTGCATGAATGAGGACGACTGTGGTTGTGGCACAAATAAAAAAATCATACATTTCAGAAGTGGTGGTTTTTCATGCCATAATTATTCCACTCATTATTCTCGCTCTAATCCTGCCTGTCTGTCTTCTGCAGGTCGAAGCGTTTCTTGTCTTTTGTTGACGGTTGTCTGATCAAGAACCACCTGCATCGACCCACGACGGACACCCTGCTGAAACACGCTTTCATCAGAGACCTGGCTAATGAAAGACAAGTCCGCATCATGCTCAAAGATCACCTAGATCGAACCAGGAAGAAGAGGGAGAAAGGTGAGGCGAATTGAATGGATGAACCAGGGACAGATGTCTGAATTTCTGAAGAGAGCAGGGACAGATAGAAGGAAGGATGGTCTACTGGTCTGCAGTCTGTTGTTATAATGGTTACTTGAATATTATGAGGACAAATACCAGAACCTTTTCTATGGGATTTCCTTATTTTATTCAAAATTTATAGCAGAGATCATTCAGGACTTGGAGATGTTTGTCTCTCCTATAGATGGATCATTCCTCCTCATTTTTCTTTGTGGACTGTCATTGGCAAACTTTAGTTTTCACAGCAATAGTGCATGTAACACTCAGCAGTGCAACTGGAGTGAGTGCTGTCAGATGGGGCCCCCTTTGAGGTTTTGTACATTTCAGGCCCCTTCTTCGGTTTAAAGTTTGTTAGCCCTCAAGGGCCCCCTACTGGTCTGGGGCCCCAAGCAGTTGCCTGCCGTTCCTGACAAGCAGCGCCTCTGTGTATATTACAATTTACTGTGTCTGACAACTTTTTCTTCAGAATGCCACCATCTTAACCTGTCCATTATTATGGAAAAGAAATATCTAGACTATATCACTAACTAGAGCTGTCTTCGATCTTCAGAGATATGTAGCTATAGATACACACACTTTTATTGTGTTGATCCCTTAAATGCAGTTATCAAACACTTGTGAAAAAGACTTAAAATGAAGACATGATTTCTTTTTACAGTTGAACAAGATCCCTTCAAGTAAAAGACACAATGATATGGATGATGATGACGACGGCGATATTAAGGATGATTTTGATGATGACTAAAACTCTCAAGAACAGCTGTCGATGTTGTGCTTTGCCTCTGATCACTTCCTGTCAGCTCATGTGTGACTGATCAGACTTAAAGCTTTTGTTTGTTGTTTACAGTTACTGACATTGTTTCCTCCTCTCCAGATCCTTGCTTGTGTTGTACTCACTCTGACGTACAGCGCTTTGGCTAAAAGCCTCTGTTACAATGTTACAATGTTACAATTCAGTTAGCAGAACATCAGAGAGTAAGCACAACACTAATCCATTCATACACCGTCACCGAAGCAGCGGGAGCAGTGCAGGGTTAGGCATCTTGCCCAAGGACACATCGGACATGTTGCTCAGCTGGGGATCGAACCCTTCGATTAGCCGAAGTAACAACAGACCTAGATTTATCGGCACACCGGAGAATTAAATTAGCCGATACCGACAGTATGTGAAAGGTTAATATCGGCTGTTATTAACGGCCTTCCGATGAATCGGTCGGGCTCTAGAAATTTCAGGGAATGAAAGACACTTACACGGGCAAATAATCACATCTTTAAAAAAATTGTTCATTCCCTACTACTGGTTGAAAAACAGGGTTCTCTAGCCAAAAAAGCTTTGATTTACACTTAGTTCAAGTTAAGCCACTGGTTTGTATTGAATCAAATAGAGGGGTGAGAATGATAATGAAAATTGAACAAATGAGGACGAGGGAGACTGTACAAGGCAGACTTGTTCTTCTCTTCTCTCTACACCATTTCATTGAGTAATGTCTAACGATAATAAACACAACGTACGTGGGGATAAAGGGACGAGATGAGAGGAGAGGCAATCGAGGAATATGAATGGAGGTTAGAAGAGTTTGATCCCAGCCCTCCTCTTGAAATACGTTGTGCTGTCAATGAACTGCAGGAGTGCATACGATACGAGAGTCAGGGGAGGGAAAGAGAGGAGAAAGATTTTTATGACTTCGCTCTTCTTTTGTTCTCACATTGCTATTCAAGCAGGGAAAGAAATCCTTTTATTGTCCATTATTAAGACTAAAAGGTAGAGTGATGACAAAAGAAGAAAAAAGAGAGAGTGACACAGAAACGCAACAGAGTGGAAGAGAGGCTGAGTGGGGAAGGAAGGAGGAAACAGATTGGACATCTGGTTCTAATCTCCTGTAAGCTTATAAAAACACTCCAATGGCTGGTAGACTCTAAGATACTTACTGCATGTGTTGTTTTTTTGTTGTGCGTGGGTTCATATGTGTAAGATTTTGTGTGTTTGTTAAAGATGTTTAAATACTGATTTGTGTGTGTGTGTGTTTCCCATGTTTCCCTGTAGAGTAAGTGTGTGAGAAAACGTTCAAAAAAAAAAACAATGCGTCAGACATGACGCAAAGGGATGTGTCAGCATACCAAAGAATGTATTCTGGACAAATATGCTCTATATTTATGAAAACTGCATCACTCTTAAAAAAAGAAAAGAGCCCCAATTGTCCATCAGCAGTAGTAGGTATTACCCTTCATTTGTGTTCCTCTTCCATCCTGTTCCAGAATAACACATCTGTAACTTGTTACCTTCCAGGGTGTTAATGGCAACATATGGCATGTCAAGTTCAGTAAATGTTGAAGTTGGGCTGGGCTACTCTCACACCATGTGTTGGGTTAAAATGCTTAACTCACTGGCCTTTACTCCTGGCCTGTGGACAATATGCCTCACATGACGTCACTGTTGAGTAGAGAAGCAAAAGCAAAAGTAGGAGCTCGGTTACAGACATTCGTCCATGGCAGTAGCGCTTCTCAATCTAACTTCAAGGAGCCTCCTAGTGACATCATTCCCCTAGTAACTTAGCAACAAATTATGTCTTAATTTAAAGGTACAATCCACAATTTAAATTGTTACATCAGGTATTGAGATTAATTCATTCAATGGCCCTGGTTACCAGGGTTTAAACCATTGCCTGTATATTAAGATTGAGATAGCCAAATCATAAACTGTAAATATTGCTGGACGAAGCCTGAGTGACGCCACCCTTCTGTTACTGCAGGGGGCTCCGGAGGCTCATACTGTATTGAACTGTTCCTTTAAATAATTGTGTCTGATCTGTGTCTGTGAGCGCCTGTCACTTTGTATCTGGTTTTTATTGTTCAAATCATCTCGTCTGAATCAAACAGCCAATCAGGGTTAGCTTGCACGTAACTAGCCAATCACTGCCATGCTGTAAAGAGTTATCCAGAGACAACTTGACTTGTGTCGGCAGCTCTCTCTAGCTCCCTCTTCTGGCCGCGATGGTGCTGTGAGCAAACCAGTTGCTTCATTGACTTTTAGGATGTATTCTGTCAGCGTGTCTGTCCTCTGTGGCAGACATTACTGGATAAGTGGAACAGACAGTTTGGCGTGCATGTTTGGTGCGTCATTTGGTGGGCGGGGCTTGGAAGAGTCATATGAGGCAGCAGAGGGAGAGGCTGAAGGTTTTTGCCAATGGCATGTTCATGTTACATAACACTCCCACTTTAACCAAGAAACTGACAAGTGATTTAATGGTCCACCAATTGATTAGTTCCCTCATTGCAGATATAATTTACAGCTGTTGCAATAATTTCAGTCATAGAAATTTAATATGTTTACATTTCCAGTGATCATTGCTCTCTCTCTCTGTCTCTCTCTCTCGCTCCTTCCATGTGTCAGAGGGTCCAGAGTACGAGTACAGTGATGGTGAAGAGGACGAGGACGAGGTGACGGAGGAGGAAGGAGAACCCAGGTAAAAGCCTTTCCAAAAAATGGCATGAATGTTGTGAAAGAAATGAGTCACTGGGTGTGAAGACAAACAGGTGAGTTTTGCAGCTAAATATGAATTGAGAACAAAAGTTTTTGCTACAAATCAGCTGAAAATGTAAAAAAAAAAAAGGGAGAATTCAAAGATCACACACAGTTCATGGATCCTGGTAAACATGCAAACAATTTCTCAAATATGTTTTACAATCTGTGTTTAGATTTTTACGAGCATCAGCGCTCGTGTCATCATCAAGTCTCCATCTGCCTAAGTGCTTTTCACATTCATCACTAACCTCTCTGCTGCGTTCCCTTGACATTCAAACAGCAGATGGCACTGGGAACTCGGCTCTTTCTCCCAGGTTGAGCTTTAGATTTGTCTACATGTAAAACAGCGGTCCTTATCATTGCTTACTCTCTCTCCCTCTTATTAAGCTCCATCGTGAATGTTCCTGGTGAGTGGACGTTAAGACGAGAGTTTCTACGTCTGCAGACAGAGGATCACGAAGGCGGCAGAGAGGGAGGCCACGGAGGAGGTGTGGCTAGACAGAGACAACAGGTACAGTAGGTTTCAGTATTTGCAACCTTAATGAGTGTACTCTTTGTTATTTTCTTGAGCCATCATATTAATTATTTTCTAATAAAAAAACAAACACTCACTTTCCTCAGTGTCAGACTTGCGATGTGTTGCTGTTATTCCAGAGTCATATGATGATGTTTTGAATATGTTTGGGGTTTGTCCTGTTGCTCAGACATTACAAGCTAATTGAAGACTTCACTCAAAGAAATGATTAATGAAATGGTTTCACTTTGCTTTTCTATTCATTTTGACATTGATAAAATGTTCATTTGATTATGTGAGAATTAAAATGGCAGATTAATTGATCATTTTAAGCGTTAGTTGCAGCCATATCGATGTTTTTTATTGGAAAGTAGTAGTAACAGAGTGCTGCAGGAATGACGTATTTTTCAATCGAAAACTGGTTAGCATTACTTTGATTCCATTGACGAAAAGCCTATGGGTTTTTTTCCATGGTTATTTGGATTATTGCTGAAAATAAACTCTGAGTTATTTTCAGCAATAACAGCACTGACAGCACACAAAGCGAGCGAGCTTCAGCGACTATATCAACATGATTCCACGCTAGCCCCAATGTCATCTTTTGTTGTAATATTGATTGAGAGCCCCCGGGCGGCGGAATCAATTTATTGTATCTTAAAGCACTCATTCAAAATATCCAACAGACTTCAAGACGATGGAACCAGAAATGCTAATTCATCTCCGGCTTTTAGGACTGGTTACTGCAGCACTCGATAGAGGTTATTGTAATAATTACAGGGTTTGCTCTCAGGATCATGACTTCAGGCTTTTTAATTGAATTCCTTTAGTCTAGAACTTTGTCAAACACAGTTACCTGAACTTAAATGGGCATGTTTTTTTTCTTCGAAAGTAGAGAAATGATTATAATGACCATTATTTTCTTTAATCATATTTACACCATGCAGTTAGTCCTGTTAAATTATTGGGTGTGACTTACTTAGTCCAAACAACAGACAAGTTTAAGTCCTCATTGAATGTTGTTTTTTCCATTGCTTAATAAAGAGCTAGGTCAACTTAAAGGTCACATATTATTCACCTTTTCAACCAGTTAAAGTAAGTCTCAGAGCTCCCTGAACATCTTTTTGATGTTTCCCTCCACCTATAAACCTCTCTATTTCAGCCCTGCTCAGAACAGGCTGTTTCTGTGTCTGTAGCTTTAAATGTGAATTAGCTGTGTTAGACCATGCCCCTCTTTGGGGGGCGTGGGTGGCGCTGGCTTTCTCACTCTATTGTCAACAGTGAGAAGACAGACTCAGAGGGCAGAACAAACACCTAGCTGTGGAAGTGTCACCCACCTAGGGGAGGGGTTACTGCCCTTTGTGATGTCATGAAGGGAAAATCTTCAAACGGCCTGTTTCATCACACATTTTCTGAAAAGTGGAGCAGTTAAAAGACAGAGAGGATGGACTTTTCTCATCATTGGGGGTTTGTAGACAGACTAGGAACACATATGAGTGTTAGAAAAACATGGTAAAGTATATTTTGCATAATATGTTAAGTGTTTCCCCTAGGTTTACAGCGTTGGGGGGGTGGGGGGACACGCCGACACAAACACTTGAAGGAATCTTGGTGTTCATCGGTTACTTTTAATGACAGCTGTCCTTTTCTATCGGAAAGGTATCCTTAAATGACTTCTTTCCCTGATTTCCGACTCTATCCATTATCCTATCCCTACAATAAAGGCACAAAAAGCCCAAAAACAAATCTTTAAAAGGCGGGGGGGGGCGTTGGGGGGGGGCGGCCCGCCCCCTAATATAATGGTAGGGGAAACACTGATGTTACCTTTAATATATTTTCACCCTAAATCTAATACTTCAGAGTGTTCGAAGCCTGATTTGTTGTTCTGATGTTCATAATTGCATTTTTAAGTTTGATCATAGAATGATTTATGTCTAGGCGTTACAGCAGCAGTTGGAGGAGCAGGAACGATACAAACAGCAGTTACTGGCTGATAGACAGAAGAGAATCCAGCAGCAGCATGAGCAGCGGCAGAAGTTGGAGGATGTAAGTACAGTTTAGGCACAAATTCTTTCTGTATTTGCTCAGCATGTGTAGGTCAGTGAGTGTAAGATTGCAGCTGGCAATGTTAAATATTCTGATAAGCAACAAAGTCAGATAAAATCCACAAGCTTTGATCAACTCTATGTTTACGAGAAGCTTTTACTGTTCCTTCATATCTGTGACGCCTCACAATGACCTGAAACCTTCAGTTTCTTTTCTTACTTTACTGATTTAAAAAAATAATAATATTATACTCCCCTCTGAAAAACAAAAGTCGAAATTATCAAGTTAACCTGAATGATGTGTGCAGGGTCGTGTCGAGGGGTTGCTAAGGGTGGCATGGCAGGTAGTTTTCTTCAGTGTAGTTTATTTACTTGTTTGTACTTTATTTTGTAAATCAATACTTTGCACATTTATTTCATAAGACAGGTGCATATGATAGTAATGCTGACTGTAAATTGTGACTTTGAACATAGCTTTTCTTTTTGTGTCGTTTAAGAAATGAGCTAGGCAACGTCTATATATGTATAAGTCTGGACACGCCCCTGGATGTGTGCCTGTGTTGTGTCACTATAGTTGTTGATTGCGGGCACTTTTTGTTAATTGCAGCAGCAGAGGCGGCAGCTGACAGACGTTGCCTTTCAGTGGGCGGAGCTTAAGGAGATATTGCTTGGAGAGGAGTCTGATCGCCGTGAAAGCTTAACCATCTTGGATGAGAGAAACCGGAGGAGTGACAGGAGACAGGTAAAGATGAACTTCTCCACTACATCAGGGCCGCCCCCCTAATATAATGGTAGGCGAAACACTGGGTAATTAGTCACCTCTGTTCTCCGTACTGTTATCATGGTAGGTGAAGAGTGGTGCTCATTCTTTCGCCCGTGTCGTGCACAACCTATAACTTCAAAAAGAAACCTTGTAATGAGGTGCTAATTTCTTTAACTTTATTTGATTACAGAAGATTAGTTTAATAGATGTACAGTATGCCTTTCCGCCGACCCCCCCCGTCTGTAGATCTCTGACATCACCATGTCCATAGGATCCTCTTTGTGCACGTGTGTGTATTTTAGCCTGTGTGTATTTGTAGCATGTAATAACAGGGTGTTAAAGTCATTTCCCCTTGTAGGATTAATGAAGTATGTAAAATGTGAAAAATTATACAATGCTATAAATACATTTCTTGGTTTTGTTGGTGATTTAAGGATCACAGGGGTGACCAAGAGAGAACAGTGTTCAACTTCCTGCTTTTATGAGAGTGCACTCTGCACCTGTAGCGGTCCTCAGTTTCCGTGTCGTGTGGGGGTAGTGAGCATTTTTCATATCCGCCTCCCTGATATGGGTTTTTTTGGGCCGATACCAATATCAGGTATTGAGGAGATAAAAAAAACCTGATACCGCTATATCGGCCAATAACTTTCTTAGATCCATGTTCTATCTGTAGAGATAGATATGGACATAGATATATATACATCTGTTGTGTTATACATACAAGAATACAAGATGGTCACTCATCTGGAGCGTAACAGAGCATGTATGTGCATCACCACTTTACACTGTGGAGAGTGACAATGCTTATTGTAATCCATATAGCGCACTGTGCTGGTAACAGCCAGAAAGACAACTGCTTGTTTAAGACAATGATGCTCACATGAAATTGTATTTGACTGGTGAATAAATCTAGTAACATCAGTGCATACCTGTGATAAAATTAGCCAATATGGACAGTCATTGGATATGCTAATAATATCTATTAAAGTTTGTCTACGTGCAGATTTTAAGAAGACAAATTCTACAGCACCATTCAAATTTCTAATGTGGTCAGAACAAGGTAGCTGCCATCTATAATCCAAGGAAGTGCTGCATGACATGACAGTTCTTTAAGGGCAGATGCCATAATGAATTATTTGTTGCTGATGTCAAACAATCAATCATTACCAATCATGATTGATCGATGGTGGTGACTGGCGTCAGGCGGTGGTTGTGGGGACAACACAGGTGTCATTACATGGTTTAATGTGATGTTGCTGCACATGGATATTTTCATTGGGATTAATACGCATCAATGGAATTGTATCTAAAACACAAGCATTGCTATAAACATTTCCTCCAACTTTACACTGATTAGGTAAATGTGCCGCAATCAAGCAGTGTTCACATTGTCGAAAAGAGGATTTTACAAGCTGTTGTGTGAATGCTGACTTTAAATTAAGTACTGCTATTATTTAATATACAAACTTTATTTAAAAAAATTGAATTGTGTCAACCAGCTTTAGTTTAAGTTTGAGCTCAGTTCAAACCTGACAACAATCTGAGGGCCATGGTGCAACCGCTGCAAAGATTTAAATAAAGTTGATTTAATTAAAAGTTGTTCATGTAAAAATAAACCTGTCTTCAATATTTGTAACTATAAAAAGATTTTCCAGGAGATACTCAAAAAGAGGTCATAATGAAATATTAAATGTTGCGGGTGTTGGCTGAAAGCTCCATGCCATCTTGCACACTCTGAATATTTTAGTTCCCACATCACAGAATACATCTCGAGACCTTAGTATACCCTAATTAAAGTAAGGCTGTGTGTGTGTGTGTGTGTGTGTGTGTGTGTGTGTGTGTGTGTGTGTGTGTGTGTGTGTGTGTGTGTGTGTGTGTGTGTGTGTGTGTGTGTGTGTGTGTGTGTGTGTGTGTGTGTGTGTGTGTGTGTGTGTGTCCAACAGGAGCATGCAGGCAGAAAGCGTAGTGGCGATGTGTCAGTAAGGCCTCAGGACTCGTCTGCAGCGCAGGTAACAAACCGTTCCTCTATGTTTTCTTATCTCTCACCTCTCATTCATTTTTCTGTTTTAAACGTGTGTGTGAAAATGCGTTTATAATTTCTTCTGAAATATTTGAATTCAGTCTGATTTGATGTATCGTTGCTGATGGTTTTGGTCATAATGTTAAGAGTGATTACTTTAAATGGTCAAAAAAAGTCATGACATTGCCTTCGGCTTTAGTTATCTCTTTTTTCTTTTTAGATCCGATGAATAATCTCTTATCTGAAGCTTCATTTGAACATTAACTGAATCCGTTTTTTAGATTAATTCAAATTAGTCAGAGCTCTTTAGATTTGTTTTGATTTCTTTGGCTTGATTGTGCAACTGACATTCATGCCAATAAAGCATTTTGAATGTAAATCAAATAATGACGCTTCAGTTTTGATGATTAGGAAAGAATATGTTATACTGCTGAAGAGAAAAAAATGCTTTGATCTGAAGACTGAATCCCAGAGGAACTGTTGCTGAAAGGATTCTTTATAATAAATGTTACCAAACCTACTCTGGCAGCTACTTAGGGCAATAGTTGGAGAGAGTTATTTTTTTTATATTGAGAGGGCAACGGTGAGATTTAATTCTACGTTGCCAAAGAACATCTGGCAAACTCGGGTACATTAACATCCATCTGAATGTTGATTAATGTACACTGTCCCTTTTCAAATAAATCAATCAATAAATAACTGTAGCAGTAGTGTCAGAAGTCGACAACATTTAAAGGCAAATCTATGTTCTCACTTTTGTTTTTTATTTAACCAGGTAATTAACCCTTTGAGATCAAGATCTATATCACAAAGGTGACCTGGCCAAGAGGGCAGCAGCAGCACAGCTCGCAGTAAATATTACATGATTAAGAAATAGTTTACAAACAATAACTTACGAACAGACAACAATTAAATTGTGCAAATCGGTTCGCAGATAAAGGGCAGAAGTTGTGATCACAGTTGTTGAAGAAGCCTTCCCTCTCTGCATCTATCTATTCCTACTTCTGTCTCTGCTGGTCCCAGCATGCCGACCGATATGATCGCCCATACCGATAGTAGTGAGAAAAACATTCCGATACCGATATATCAGCCGATATCTTTCTAAGCTCTATCTTCGATCTTTAGAGATATACACACACACCTGTATTGTGTTGATCCCTCAAACGTTCTTGTCAAACACTTGTGAAAAAGGTTTATGATTAAGGGATAAGATTTTTTACGGTTGAAAAATAGCCTTTATCATCCATAATAACAACAGTGTACTGAATAATGTTATTTTTACTTAGAAATGAACAATTATAAATAAAAAAGATGTAAAAATAAATAGTAAGCTTGACCTGAATAATCCTAGTTATATCAGCACATATTGGAGATATAATTATAGTCACATGATGTGCTAATATCGGCCAATATTATTGGTCGGCTGAATAATCGGGCTCTACTTCAGCCTTACTTTCATCTTTTTTTAGCCCTCTTTTTCTTTAACATTACTTTACTTTTTCTCACACATGTATCTTCTAAGCATCCAGTATATGTTTTTTTCCTTCTTTATCTTGTTCTTGTTATATAGTTTTATCCTGATTTTACTCCTGTTGTGTAAAAGATTAAAGGAAAATTAATCTTAGGATTAGTTAGTTAAAGAAAGAAGTTATGAGCTTCTTGATGAACTTCCTGCATGAGTCAAATTGTCTGCATGCATGTTGTACATATTGCAATATTCAACTCATTCCTAGAGTCTGCAGTACTGTACAATGTGTTTACAGAAAGGTGTTGCCGAGGCACATCCAAACTGAGAGGACTATTTGTAACATTATATTCATTTTACTAGGCTGTCAAGAGCAACCTTTTTTCATATTCATTCATACACATGCAGTCCTTTGTGATAAAAGATAGCCCTTGGTTCTTTCCCAGACTATATTGGCTCTTCATTTATTCTTATATGACATTTACTCTAAGAACGAAAGTAACCAGAGTAAATGTGTTTTGAATTGCAAATGTGTGTGTTTGCAAATCAGGACCTGATGCTCAAGGTCCTCCTGCGTTCATCATATTTGAAAGCTTCATCGGCAGCACCGGACTCATTTTATGAACGCTTTTGCATGTTGGTCAACGGTCAATGTAGCAAGCTTTCTTTTATGCTCTTCCTTGTTTGTCTGAGTAATGCAGTGTCTGTTTTACGAGATGTTCATGCAACAGTTGTAGCTTGTCCTGTCATTTCCTACAGAACCTGGGAGGGGTCTTTTCCTGTTAGGAACTGACATTTATATACATGCAACTAGAGATGAGACCGATCAGATCTAATATCGGTATTGGGAGTGATATTGACTCAATTTACATAACTGATATTGGTCTGACGGCGCCGATCAAGAAAGATGGTTGGGCCCTTTAATCATTCTCAACTCACACAGTCTCACTTTGAAGACATTCAGACTGAACTGTGAGAAGTGCCCCACTAATTGTCTCCATGACGACGTTCAGGAAGATGGAACAGCTCCTCCTTTCAAAAAAAAAGTACAAGTCTTACACTTCAGTTTAAAAGATTTGATTAAAAAAAACTTAAAGGTGTTGCTGCTTCCTGTTAGCATGGAAAGCCAGCACAATGCAACGCCGCGTTTACTACAGCTCTGTGTAGCCTTACAGACAATAATAACAACAATAACACTATTCGTTACGATAATAAAAATATCGGTATCAGTATCTGTACATTTTTTTGGAATCAGATAGGACCAAGTGGAACAAGTGGATCGATGCATCTCTGCATGCAACATTAACTTGAATGGTCAGATTTAACAGTTTTGGTCATGATGCTTAGTTTTGTTTAGAAATATACACACATGTCCTCTTGTTTGCATTTTCATCTCTTAAGACACACACCTCATAGCAGGTCTCATTGTTCACTTGTAGTAAGATGTCTGTCTGTGTGTGCATGTACGTTATGTCCTTCAAATCCAGTTTACCTGTGTCTGATTAATTTAAGACACTTCCAGACTCTGTCAGTTTCTTTGTGTGCTTTCCATGTTTGCTACATAGAGAGCCGTGGCTCCAAACCAGCTGCTTCAGCACAAGGCCCAGCTCTCCGAGCCTAGGCAACAGCCGCAAGCCAAGCCCCAGTCTCTGGCTCAGCATCAGCAGCCATCGGCAGGCAGAAGATCCCACCGCACCCTGCCCAAGGACCAAACTCAGCTCCTTTCTCTGCAGCACGACCACAGACACAGGGAGAGAGAGCGGCAGAGGCTCAGAGAAAAGCCTGTGGCAGCTTTCCAGAAGCTATCAGCTAATAGTGGGAACACAGCTGCTGCTGCTGCTGCTGTTGCTGTTGCTTCCTCACCCAGCCACCCTGCACAAAGCCAGCGTTTAGCGGTAAAGCCTTACCCAGCTATCCTGCACCATTAATTATCTCTACATCCGATATGTTTCAGTGTGTCTCCCTCCCTCTTGCACCTTTGTATTCAGTTTAATGATTTATTTCTATTTTTGTCCCAATTTCTTCTACTTTGTCAACTGTTTGTGTTTTGTTCCTCCTCCAACTCCCTTTCTCTACTAACTATTACTTGTTCTGAGTTAAGAGTCCTTTTTTAACTTTAAATTGTAGGTAGAGAAAGAGTAAGCCAAATGTTAGCTATTATGTGGTTGACTTTGGGTAGAAAACCAAGACTTTCACCCAACTGACATATGGTTCATACCCTCTATTCTAATTATAGTCGCTAAACAACAAAAGAAACTTGAACAGCCCACAGCTCCTCTGCGGTGCCATGCCAGGAGAGGGTTTTTTCAAGCAGCCAAACTCTGGGTCTTTGAGAAAGGATCTTTCAAATCACCATCTGGTGATGGGGTTAGCTGGGCTGGTTCTTTTGTTAGTAAAAGTTACGTTCTGTTGTTCCTCGTAGTGATGGCTAAATGTTAGAATAGACGTAGTTAAACTGTCTGAAAATGAGCACTGAATGGTTAGAACGACTGAGTATTGTCCTGAAGCGAACTATAGCCAAAACCAGAATCTGTTTAATTGGTTGTGTTAACTGCCTTTTTACCAGATTGTGAGTCTTGTCTTCTGATGGGTTTAATCTTTCCACACCAGCATCAGATAACAAAAGTTTTGCGGTCTAAGTGAGTGACACGCCCGCTGCACTAAAGTTGATGATTTTTTATTGATATTCATGGTCTTGGTCTTGACTCTGTCTTGATCCCTAAATGTCTTGGTCTTGTCTTGGTCTTGTCTGGTCTTGGAGCACTCTGGTCTGGGGTGTGTGTTGGTCTCAGTAAGTGTGGTCTTGACTACAACAATACTCCTTGATTTGCTGATCATTTGGTCTAAATTCATCCAGCCTGCAGGCCACTGACTTTTCTCCAATGATTCATCTGTAGCCTTACAGACTGTAGAGATGCTAAGAAGATAACTTAGCACCTTTTAACTTAAGAAATGATCTCGGTTCTTTTCTGTAGTGCATTGTGGAGTAAAATAGATATTTTCCTAAGTTAAAATTAAAAAATCATTGCCATGTTAATTCTATTAGCCTGTAAATGGAAATTTCTCTGACTGAAGTAAGAAATCGAGTAAGTGTGTTGTGAGTCAATTTTTTTCACTCAAAGTCTTTAATTGTTTTGTTTTTATGTTACAGATGGACTTACAAGAATCAAACCTGGCCAGGCTCCTCTTGGCTGCTGGTCTGCCAAGCCCGATGCATCCTAGGATGGGCTCTGGGAGCAGCTCTAGTCCTTGTACTCCAGCCATGCAGAGAGCTCACCTCAACCAGGTGTCACAATCACACCTCATGCACCCTTCTTTTAAATTATTGGTGTATTAAGTTCAGTTGTGTACTGCTAACTTCTCTCTCTCTCTCTCTCTCTCAACACATGTACAGTAGATTGAAAGATAGATGGATGGATGCCTCATTTTGTTCTACTTCTCTTTCTACATAAATGTTATAGATTTGAGAAAGGGTTCATGTTCGATACAATTTTAAACCATAAATGACCCTCGCTGTTATCTTTCTTTCCCAGAATGCCAATCTACGCTCTAGTCGTGATGCCCCTCACAGCAGCTCTATGTCAAACATGGTCCTGTCCCCCTTGTCCCCGTTTGCCCCCTCTTCCCATAATGATGATGTCTTCTGGGACTCAGTTGAGACGCCGCCTAAGGTGAGCAACAGCTCGCCTAATAGCTGCTGGATGACATGTCATGTTGCATGCCAGCGAGATAGACAGATAGACTACCTGATGTGAATTTTGTTTTTCTGTCTCCCATCAAAAGAGGAAATCATTATTATTGTCATGCCAGGCGCAGGATGTGTCCTGCATCACATTAAATGTTCGCTTGCACTAGCATATGTTTTTGCTCTGGGTTTGGGAGAAGAAAAAAATCAAGAGCGGAGAACAAATCAGAGGACAGATGTTTCAGAACCGTATACAAGTGGCCTGAGCGAGAGGAGCAGAATTGAAGCTAGAGCACAGGAAATGAGTGGAAGCAAAAGTTTTGAGCAGAATCAGAGCAAATGTAAGCATGAGCAGGGGCTATTTGAGTACAAAGCAAGTCATCACAGCCTCCAGCCTCCACAGCAACCACCTGCCTTACATAATGGCATCATAAAACATAAATATCTTCTATGTCGTTTCCTTATTTGTTTGATTTTGTGCTCCCCTAACTCTCATCATCACATGCCTTCCTTCTGCTAACGTTTCCTACATTCAGCCGTTCAACATCAATCATCCTCGACAGCACACCTTGTTGTGTTTATTCCAAAATCTCCATCCCTGTGTTGCATTTGTTTATGTATTTTTGTTTCTCTTTACTGTTCCTTCTTGTCATATTCTCACTAGTTTGTCATTCTGTCTCACCAATAAAGACACAAAGTGAATGGCAGCTTATCAAAATGATCAGAAAACAGATGACTTTAAAATTTCACCCTGATGAAGAGGTGTGATAATTAACTGCATCTCTTTTAGTACAAGCACTGACACATAGAGTAAATTATATATACAGCCCACCTCACCTTTTTGTCTGTCATCACTGCTCTCCCAGTAGGTGTTTGAAGAAGCAAATATGCTGTTGTTTGTACTTACAGAACAACATGCAGAGTTAATAGAACAATAAATGCGGGAAGGAAGGAGTGGGGGGGGGGGCATTATCATTCTGTTAGTTTAATGTTGTAAACAAACAGAAGGCCATATGGAGTCTGTAAAGCAGTTAATAACTCACTGTTCTCTCCGGTAATTGCATTTTGTGACTGAGGCTGCTTGAAACACTGGAAATACTTCTTCATACACTGAAGGTCTTCTATACAAAGCATTGTGTGGATGCCTGATTCACCTGTGCAAGTGAGACCAAAAGTTTAATGGCGCACTCGCACTATGCAATCCGTACCGTGCCTAAGCAAGCTCCACCCCTAAAGTCCAGTAAGTCAGACTAGTGTGAGCTCAAGCACAGTACACTTCCTTGGCCCTGGCATGCTTGGAAGAGGTGTGCTTCAGCACGGTACAGTTCATGCACGAGCATGTGGGTACACAACATGGACAGCCTTCATTATCAAGAAATCCTGTAGTGTTCTGGCTGTATCTGATTAAAATGACTCAAAATTAGCCAGTAAAGTAGCCGTCATGTTCTCTGTGTTCTCTGATTTTTTTTTAAAGTCTGCCTGTCTTGTAAACTATTAATTTGTTGTATTATGACGTTATGTACAAGAGGTAATCGGCCCGGTTCGTCCTGGAGCAATGTGAATGCATGCCAGCGGGGGAATGGGGAGGGGGGACAATCATGCTTCAGCACAATACGGGGCAACTGGGCCTAGTGTGAGTGCGCCCTAATTCTTAGGAATATTGAAAAGGTCATTTTGCTCCCCAAACTGAGCTTCAGAGCAAATAGGCTCTCTGTGTCTCTGGGCTGTTGAATACCACAAACAGTTAAGAGTCCATTTTTACTGTCTGCTGCAAGTTGTCAGAAACTGCAGGGCAGTATTTATAAGAGTGTTGTGTGCATACACATCCAGTGATCATCACAACAGTCTGGGACTAGGACTTTAACATTGCTATTACTATTATAATAATAATTATTATTATTATTATTATTGTTTAGTCGGTCTATTGCTGTTCAAGTTAACCGCAGCAGCTACGTGCACATGTGTGGAGAAGTTCTGGAGCTGCTACAGGATGAGGAAGAGAGAGTGACTGTTGGATGAGCCGCTCTCACACTGACTGTAAGGAGGAAGCTTTGTTATAAACAGTGAAAGCTGTATCACTTCTGGCAATCTCTCCTAACAATAATATGAATAAAAAGTCCCCAACCCCCACACCACTAAAAATGTCACCATATGTATGTGGATCCAGTTAAGCTCTGTCAGCAGAAGAGCAGAACTCAAAAACAGCTGACAGCACAGGGGCAAACAAGAGCAAACCAAATGAAGCTGCAAAACTTTTTGGGTGTGTTTGCAGGAGAATACAGTCAGTGCAATATGCCCTTTGAATCCTCCCTTCAGGCAGAGCAGATAGCGGTCACAATCGTTGTGCAATTCATGGTGCCATTGGCAGCTGTAATCCACTTTTAGTGCATTTGGCACTGAGGGTTTTTGTGACGGTAATTCAATCGTGAGCTGAAATAGTTGACAGTACAAAAGACACCACCTTGGCTGTGTTTTTGTGTGTGAGAAGCCAGATGCAGGATGTGGGCAACTTGTCAGAAGGATGGGTATTTCCACAGCTCACTTCCTCTTCTACTGGGTGTGTCTTCCTCTCCAAAACTGGGTCATGTGAACCAAGAGATGAGAGGTCAAAAAGTCACCAGCTGCTCGATGGAACTGAGAGTTTGAGTGGGCTTGAGTGTTTAAAAAATGAAGTTTATAAAGGCATTGCTTTGCCACACTTAGACCAATGATGTTGCTGTTGATTTAAAGTGCTCTTCTTGTCGTATATGACAAATGCAATGATATTGAATACTGCTGGGAACAACTGGTTTTCTCAGTAATAAACATCTACATGTGTATCATTTAAAGACTGTATTTCACCTTGCTCTACAGCCTTGAATGTGATGTGGAAGTATTTTAAATGTACGGTACATGAATTTCATAACCTCAACAACCTTCCCTAATTGACTGAATTAGTCAAGCAGGGCGCTAGACATGAGCTTTTATAAATAGCCCTCTTAAACTTTTGAAAAGTGGCATGTTTGTGCCTTTAGTGACCTTAGGTTTCTGTATAGTCCTTCAACTTGATTCTTATTCTGAACTCGATCTTGTACATATTCCAGGTTCCAGAACGCACTACCTCTAAGTTTTACTGCCGGGAGCTGGTGATGGGACACAAGAGGGCAGCTTCAAGGTAGACCCCAGCTTCACTGTATGCACACAAAACATGCAAACAAGCACAGATGTATGTGTAGGACATTGAATGCTTTGTCCATAAGCAAACAGCGTGCTGTATATACAGTTTAATGTTAATAAGATAGACCCTGGCTGATATTATGTATATTCTTTAACTCATTACAAAGTAAGGACTGTATATATGAGGTGTGTCTTGACTTTGAAAATACCCCCAGTTAGTTCAGCTGAGGTGATTGCCATACTCCCTAATCACTCATTATTTAGACATTTAATACCAGCATGCAGATACTCTCTGAATGTTGAATAAGGAGCCTATAAAACATGACACTTAAAAATGTGTAAACTCCAGTTTTGTAACAATGCTGTGATCAGAGTGGTTTGTTCAGCTTTAGTGAACCTCTTTATTTAGGTTTATGGCTGGATAACAATGGATTCATGGATCGATCAGATCAGTTTAGCTCGGTTGATTGTTTCACCTTCCATCTTTGGATCTCTGTGTATGTGTCTCTTTCTCCCTCTAGTGGCAGTCCAATGTTTGTAGCAGATAAGAGTGGAAGATCTGTAGCTCATGAAGTCTCGTCTACAAGCAGCAACCACCCAGGTCAGTGCAAGCTCCACTCAGCACCATGCTCAAATGAGTCCTATGTTGTTATAACATACAAACATACAGGTCTTTGAACTCTGCTCAATGAGATAAAATGAGATCACTGTTTTTCTCTGCTACTGTCTTGTTTAAGTTCAGGCCTTGTCCATGTGGACTTGTTTTGTTTCTTGGTGGTAGTGTGAACTTAGAAGAGGTCAAAATGCTCCAGCAACACTTGTAGTAAGAAGATCAACTTTATTAACAATTTAGACCGACGCGTTTCGGCCCGTGGCCTTCATCAGGGTCATATCCCTTAATTCAGACAACATCATGAACGATATTCTACAACACAACAGCACATAGCACACTAAACACCTGCTCTCTGTATCCTCTCTGCAAGCCAGGAACTATGCAAGCTGCTCTCATAGCAACAAGGAAATTAGAAAACAAAGGAAGACGGTGAATATGTTTAGCATTTCAAAGTCGACCTCTGTGTGTTGCTCAGAGGAAACAACTTTTGATGCCTCCCACTCACTTTCCCTGCTCTTATCGTGCCTCCTTTGTTTTAACCTGAGGTCAAAGATTCTTCTAAAGACTCAAACTTTACTGTGGTGAAAAAAATAATAATTCTATCCACCTTTTATGTAACTGAGGGAAAGGATGCTTTTTTTCTCTTCTCTACATTGTTAACATTAACACATTTTTTTTTTTTTTTAAACTGTTAGGAGGGGGCAAGCAACTGGAGAATGTTACACATCGGTTAGTTTTGTAACAAGGAAAGTTGTTGCTTCTTCATATACTTTTTTTTGTACTCCTCACTCACGTGTAGTGGAGTGAGAGAGGTCTTTTCCTGTTTTGTGCCAACAAAACTTGTTTTAAGCATGATTTTTTTTTTTTACGCATCCGTTTTGATTTTTTTTTTTTTGATGTCGTGGACATTAACTGGGTCAGGTCTGTAAAATCCTGGGGAAAAAACAGTTTGGGCATCCATATTTTGAAATCGTTAAAAGGACTATTTAACTTGCAATTTCTTGACTAAAAGACCTCCAGTTGGTCGGTTTGCTCCACACCATCCTTTTGCACTTTGCTCATTAGCTCTATTCAGACTGCTGTTTCAAGGTGTGATATTTACCCCCCTGTGATGTTTCGCCTTCAATCTGAATGTCACAGTGGAGGGACGAAGTGATCCCCCCCCCCTGTATCATCTTCAGATGTTTCAGAAGTAGTAACAGAGGTGTTACAGAGGCGAGGCAGGCTCATCGGAGCCAGCAATGTAGTGCAGTGTGTGTGCATGTTTTCAGGAGATCCTTTGTCCCCACAACCATTACGCTTCATAACACAGGCCAATGGTAGCAGCTAGTGACTGGAGCTTTGGGTGGAACGTCACTACATGCCGCTTTCTCCTTTCTTTCCTTAACACCCTGGGACTGGTGCAATAACAAGAGCTATTTAGGAGTGCAGAGTTTTTTAGTATTTGGATTATCTGTTAATGTTATCTATGTAGTTTTAAATTAACATTGTCTTATCCATCCATCCATCCATGGGAAAACAGTATGACACTGAAATGATATGAATGTCTTAAGGAGTGAATATGGCAGAGCTACATTTGCAGCCTGAAAAGGACTACTGCGTCACTGACACTAATATGATCATGGTTGTTGTGTTTGTGTATTAAAGGTTACTTCAAGCTGGAGAGTCCTCTTCTACAGCCCGTTCGACAGCAACACAGAAAGGCACAAGAGAACTTCACCAGCGGGCAATCACAAGTAAATGAAGAGTCTTTATATTTGATATATTCACAGCTTTCAGTTCAGCAGATCTGTTTTATTACATTATACACGTGGAAGTGTCACCAAATCTTCCCCTCTGCATAAAATGTAAGTGACCTCAGAGTACACCCAACAAATCATTCTTCGTATCTTCGTCCGTACCAGATTAAACTAAGGTCCTGTTGTCTTCTCTGTTTGATTCTTTTGACTCTGCTCACTCACCTGACCTCATTTACTCTGATTTGTTCTTCCCCTCCACCATGCAGGGTGGAAGATCTGCTCTGGGTCGACTTAACAAGGCCACAGAATACTCCTCCTCCAGTGATGAGGTCGGCAGCAGTGATGATGAAGACAGCAGAAGGTGACATTTTTGGTCTTCAATAACTATCATATACAAATTTCATTAAGCTTATTATGTTGGTAAAAACGTTCCTGATTTAGGTTCACAATGCATTTCAGCCAGTCTTTGAAATTCATCTAAATAATTGAATGTCGGAGAGAAAGGGAAAACGTATTCAAACATCCTTTTAGTGTTTCCAAACCACACAAGTGTCAAACATGACCTGTTTCAAGATGTACCAGTTATGAAACCAATCTGAAGAATCAGAAAAAATGAGTTTAGAGGTCACATATTATACAAAATACACTTTACCATGATTTTCAAAATGAATGTGTCTCTAGAGAGAAGTCCATCCTCTCTGTCCTTTGCCCAACCCACTTTTCAGAAACTGTGTCCTCAAACAGGCCGTTTGGAGATTTTCCCTTCGTGACATCACAAAGGGCAGTAACCCCTCCTTTTCAGCGAAACAGCCCGTTGTGAGCAGGGCTGTGGCCACATATACAGACAGCACATGGTGCAGACATGCCACTCATTGTTTACTTTTAGAGGCTACACCTGCAGCGCACACGGTAAAGTGTTTTGTGAGTCAAAGGCAGCTCAGGACAGTGAGCTTTCCTTTAATTTAGTTCATGTCGTACAAGTAACATATTAGCAGGCCGCAAGTTTATCTGTGCAGTTTATAAACAAGTGCGTCGCTCCATAATTTCCCTTTTTTTATTGCAATACATATCGCAATTTTTTTTTTTATTAATCATGTCAGTTGAGCCCGACATAGTCTTCAATGAAGTCAAGCTCTGCTCTAACATCTTGACCTGTGTGTGTGTGTATGTGTTTTAAGGCCCGGCCTGTCCAATGGAACCCGGAGATACTTCAGTGGAATCCCTGATGGCATCGTACTGCAGCCTCACATCAATCTTAACCAGGTGCCCTGAATCCATACACAGTACACACTAACACACACACACACACACAAACAAACAGAAACACACAAACTGTGTCTGAAACCACATATTACATACTGCCTATTACATACTAAAAATATATATACTGCATTCTTCATTCTAACCCAGATGTTAGTATGCCGGTAGCAACATACTAAAATACGGGTCACGCCTTGGTCCATAAATATAATTTAACAACAATATGCAATCGTTCATCACTAATACAGCTACATAGTTATTAAAATATTATATGGCAACATGTTAAATATATTTCAGCACGGAACTTTTACTTTGGGACGCTAGTTGGCTGGCTGGCAAGCTCCGTGATTGGACAGTCTAAAAGCCGCAATGCATTGTGGGGCGGTTTAGGATGCCCTTGTTTCATACCCCAAAAGTTCTGGCTGATCTAGTATACATCCGGACTTTTCTCTCATACACGAAATTGCATATTATGATTCCGGATCATACTACACATTCAGTATGAATAGTAACAGTATGAAGGTCTGTGGTTTCGGACACAGTCAAACACACACACTACTACTGGTGGTTTGCCTCCATCGTTATTTTTATCAGCTGGAGGAATCAGCATCTGTACTGTCAGAGGTAGTGGGCTGATGTCAATGATAGGATGATAAACTCGTGAACTCTTTTCTGACTGGTATATTCATCTACTACTTCTACAGATTTCTCGGATAGGTTCAGATGAAACCTACCTGCTTCCAGACCTTTTGCAGAAAGCCTCTTCTCCAAGTCCTACCCATAATGCACTGGGCCAGCAGCAAACTCATGAACTCAACTACTCGCAGTCACCCACAGCCCTTCGATCCAACACACGGCAGGAACTATATGTGAGTTTATTTGAAAAAAATTAACTGCCAAAGATTAGCAGTGGTTAGCGCTGTTGCCTCATAGTGAGGAGGTTCCTGGTTTGAATCCCCGTCGGACAGGAGTCTCTATATGTGGAGTTTGCATATTTTCCCTGTGCATGTGTGGGCTTTCTCCAGCTACACCGGCTTCCTCCCACAGTCCAAAGACATGCTTGTTCGTTTAGTTGGTGACCCTAAATTACCCATAGGTGTGAATGTGAGTGTGGCTGGTTGTCTGTCTCTTTATGTCAGCCCCGCCTTTCGCCCAATGTCAGCTGGGGTAGGCTCTAGCCCGCCAAGTCCCTGAACAAGAAAAGCGGTTCAGATAATGGATGGATGGATGTGACTAATTGCATCAGTTATATTGACCACCAGATGGAGATGGTGGCACATATAATGTGCACAGGTACAAATTGTGACATAGTCTATCTTAATAATCCTGAATGTGGCACCAGTTTTCATTGGAAATGGATGTCCTGACTCAGACCTTGAACAGTAAACTTGAACTCTGATTGCGTGAATGAAGTCAAATGAAAAAGGGATTTAAAGAGAACAAAAGAGCGGATGGTCACTGATCTGTCAAATAACAAAAAGGATTTGTGATATTTTGAGTGGAGGACAACACAAACAATAAATGATGGAGTTGGAATAGCTGCTGATGGGTGGCTGTGACTCAGTTGGTAGAGTCGGTCGTCTCCTAAATGGAGGGTCAGGGGTTAGATCCCCAGCTCCTAGAGCCACATGTCTGAAGTGTCCTTGGGCAAGACATCTATTTGCTCCCGCTGCTTTGTCAGCGGCGTATGAATGGGATTAATTACTTCTGATGGTCACTTTACAGAGCCATCAGTGTGTGAATGTGTAGGTGTGACCTGCGGTGTAAAAGCGCTTTGAGTAGTCAGAAGACTAGAAAAGAGCTATAGACGCTATAGAAGTCCATTTACCATGATCTTGTTTGTGTTTGTTGTCAGGCTGTCAGCAGTCCCAAGGGTAAAAACACCTCCTCAACTTCCTCCTTCCTTTCCTTCATTGATCCAAGACTGATACCCATATCGTCGCCTCCGCAAAGTCCAAGTGAGCCCATTTACACACAAACGCACGCACACATACATTAAATATATATTGATATAATCACACATGAAGTACAAAAAAGGTCATGAAAAATTCCTGCACAGTGCTCCTTTAACTTCACCATGAATCCATAACTTTACCCCATATATTAGATTAAGGTTAGATAAAATGAACTTTATTGTCCCAATGGCAAATTAGCCCTGGACTTCACAGTGCTCTGATGAAGTAACAAAACCGTCAGTAAAACACGTCATATGTCATAATTAAGAACAGGGATGATAACTTCAGATACAGCTACAGTACACATCTACACACACACACACACACACACACACACTCATACTGTACACACATAAATACACACACACCTTACACTTACTTAGGTGGTTTTAAGCGCTTTTATAGACTATGGGACAAAGCCACTTAAGGAATTTTTGCCTTTATTGTCATTACACATAGCAAAATTAAATTTGTACAATCATCGCATTCAACCATCCAAATGCATCCATACAAGTTTAGAAATAAGCTATCGTTAGAGGTAGAAGGTAGAAGTTTTAACAAAGTCTAGTGCATTTAGAGCAGTCTACAGTGTCATTATCCTCTGTATAGAAAGGCGCATAACAAGCATAAAGAAATGCATGCTTACCGGATGTGGTATATAGATATGGAGTCATATGCATATTTAAATGTGACCATAAAAACTGTTGCACATGAGCAGCTTTTAGAAGAATACAATATTGCACATTAAATATTTTGCAGCATGGTTATTGTACATTGTTACATTGTTCATGCAGCAGGCAGTAAGGATGAGCCAATCAAGAGGGAGAACCATAGGAAAGGGTCCGTAGTAAACGTGAACCCAACCAACATTCGACCACAGAGCGACACTCCCGAGATCCGCAAGTACAAGAAGAAATTCAACACTGAGGTTCTCTGCGCTGGACTATGGGGTTTGTAGTTTTCCATGTTTTTGGTATAAATATTCATTCAGAGGAGAAATTAAGTGTCAAGTGTTTGTGTGTTTTGTGAATACATGTAATAATATCAAAACAAAAGCACTATTCTGTGTATTTTTTCACTGTGCAAACTTTAAATATTGTTAATTTGGAATCCCCATCTTTGCATATTTAAGGCCTCTGCACGTCGAGTCAGTTTTTTTATTGCGATCCGATAAAAGACACCTTGAACGCTGCGTTTATTTTTTCCATTAATTGCGTAAATTTGCTTAATGTCTTGTACTTATCACACAGAGTGATCAAGCACTGAGGTTGATTTTAATGGTTCTCTAAAAAACGTTTTTACCATGTTGTTAAAGGTGAGTTTAACATGTCGAAAAGGAGAGTTTAACTGTTTATAAAGGAGATTTTCACATGTCGATACAGGAGATAAGCAATTGATCCTGAAATGTTGCTGGCACTAGGTTTGAGTTAGTGGATTCATTGTGCAAGCATGATTGACATAACCTTAGATTGTATTTCTCGTCAATTTCGGACGAAAAAAACAGACTCAAGTTGCAATGGCCTTTACTGATGTCTTCAAAACAGGTGACAGCACGAGGTGTAAGGTCTGTTTTTGTTCTGCAGGTGTGAATCTGTTAGTGGGGACAGAGAACGGCCTGTGGCTTCTGGATCGAAGTGGTCAGGGAAAAGTCTACTCCCTCATCAGTAGGCGAAGGTTTCAACAGATGGATGTGTTGGAAGGACTCAATGTACTGATTACTATATCAGGTATGTATAGTAACACATTTGAATGTGCCTCTATAGAACACAATACATCCTTTATTAGCTGCATTAAAACAGTTTTTTATGGTCACCCACAGATGATTTATCAACTGTAATGACAGGGTTTTCTGTTCATGTTCTTTTTAATGCATCTCCTGAGTGAAATAATTTTCAGTTTCATTTTATATAATCACATTTCAGCCTAACCCTTCTCTTGATCACTCATTTGTAGGTAAAAAGAACAAGCTCCGGCTGTACTACCTGTCCTGGTTAAGGAATAAAATCTTACACAACGACCCAGAGGTGGAAAAGAGACAGGGCTGGACCTCAGTAGGTGACCTTGAGGGCTGTGTGCATTATAAAGTGGGTAAGTACAAAATTTGAATAACACAAAGGATTATACTTTTTGTTATATCCCAGACTAGAGAAAGAGAAGATGAAACCCACATCCCGGGTTTTAAACAACGGTATTTGACTGCTTAATATTCAGAACATACACAACAAACACCGACAGCTGTACTTGAGAGTTCTAATCGGCATCAAAAGCAATAATGTCCTTGTGGCTTTCATTAGAGTAGCCTGTTCAAAAACAGTCTGCAGGGATGTGTGACGTTTAGCTCCCATCATTTGTCATTCAGTCTGAAACAATCAAATCAGTTTGTTTTTTAATCTGCGCTGACAGGTTGCCAAACCGTGCTGTGATACCATACTTGATTAGGCTCTCTAAGATTGCCTGATAAAAAAATAAACATAAACTTCTGAACAACACCATGAACTCTCGGACTATGTGAGAAATGTAACCTTTGTTATAATCTGCTACATAGACTGTCTACATGTGTGTTCCAGGTCGGAGCATTGTCATTAAAAAAACAAGATATTTATTTGTATTTTTTTTATTGGAAAATTGGATGGGATTGGTAAAATCTTAATTGTCCCCAAGGGGTAATTTGGTTTGCAACAGAGGTCCAAACAGGCAATACACATCATAAAAACAGTACAAGGACATAAATACATACATATAAAAACAAAACTTATATGGATATCATCATGATGGATTTGAGTGAGATAAAGGACAACAGTACATAGTAAACGTGTACAGGCAACAATGCCTACAGCTTATTTAAAAACCCAACTGATGACCTCAGATATCTGTTAGATTTGACCCTCAACATAAATGAACCTCCTCCCTGTCGGTAGAAGTCTAAACTCTGCATGCAGGGGGTGCTGAGGGTCTTGCAGGATGGCCTTTGCCTTCTGATTGGCTCTTATTTGAAAACTATGGCCAAGCTCATTCAAGTCAACGCCAACAATCGGCAAAGTTTAACTACATTTAAATATCCTTGTCCATCTTGTTTTTTTTTTAATTCTGTTTGTCCATCTTTGTTTCCTCAGTGCGCTACGATAAGATCAAGTTCTTGGTGATTGCTTTGAAGAATGCTGTGGAGGTGTATGCCTGGGCCCCGAAACCCTACCACAAATTCATGGCATTTAAGGTTAGATACATTTATGCTTGTGAAAACCAAAAAACTCCACTGTGACGTTTCTGTTCTTTACACATCTTTGCATATCAGAAAAAAAAACGTTGCATAATACGGTCACTTCCACATCGTCCTGACACATCCAGGCTATCCAGAGATTCATACACGCAGATTCTCAGCAGACTCGTGTCCCCATTTCTCTGCATCCTCTGTGGCCTGAGCTACTTTTCCTTCATCACTTTTGTGGTTGCCTCTCTCCCTTTACCCTCCCTTCACATGAAAGGCCATAAATACACCACCTTGTGAACATGATAGTGACTTTGTTCTGATTCCTTGTATTTTGCAATATGTTGCTTATTAATGTAAATGGTTCCGGTGTCTTTCTTGGCTTTGATAACATCTGGTCTAAGTTGAATAGCAAAATGTCTCATAAAGTATTTAGATCATACTGACTGAAGTCATTTATATTATGTGTTTGTCCTTGTTTACCTGTCTACTCAGTCATTTAGGTCTCTGCCTCAAAAACCCCTGTCCGTTGACCTGACTGTGGAGGAAGGTCAAAGGTTAAAGGTCATCTACGGCTCCTTGTCGGGTTTCCACGCCATCGATGTCGACTCTGGCACACCTTATGACCTCTACCTCCCCACACATGTAAGAGTCTGTTCCATATTCTTTTATTGTATACATCTGCTTGTTTTTTTTTTGTTGACTGTACCAACAAGGCTTTTAAGGTTGTTTTAGATAATGTAAGGAGGAAAAAGGACAAATAATATCCTGAGGAAACTCGAAGTCCAACAATTTCTGGGTTCAATCCCCAGCCACATGCCCGACGTGTCCTTGGGCATGACACCTAACCCCTAGTTAGTGCTTCATCGACGCCAGTGATTAGTATATACTGATGGACACTCTACATAGCAGTCTCTGCCATCAGGGTGTCAGTGTGTAGGTGTGAACGCTCTTTGAGTAGTCAGTCAGTCTCTTACTCCTTTTTTTCCATTCTCTCTCTCTGTTTGGTCTGTGGGCAGGTACAGCTGACACAGTATGTTGTCAGACATTGTCTGTTTTATTTGTTAATCATAGTTTGAAATTTGTTTCGAGTTGTGGAAATGGATCAAGCGAAGCAAGGAGCAGTAGGGGGGGGGGGCTTCTGTGCGCCTTCCGTGATGGTGTTTTTAGACTTGTCAGAGGTTGACTTTATTTGGTAGTGGTTAAATATGTAAGTTTGGAGATTGAAGGTGACAGCCCTGAGCAGGTGACCAGTCACTCACAGGGCTAACACCTAAGTCCCTTTCACACAAGCACTGCAGTCCTGAAACCCCCCCCCCCCATGTTGCAGGTTTACATTTCTGTTGGACCTGACTGTTAGCAGACTTTGTTCCTGCCAGTCCAATAGTGAAATGTCTATCCATCAACAAGAAGGTTTGTGCAAATGCATTTGTCTCTCTAACTGTGTATAAATCGCCCACATCAGGTACTTTTACAGAGAGAGAAGTGTAATTGTTCCCCCCCCTTCTCTATGTGGGCATGTTTGGCTTGCTGTGGCCTCTGGTGAGTCATCTTTCACATTCTGGTTCTGACACATCCTTTTAAATGTGTTAAAATAACAACAATTAGGTAAGAGCCTCTGAATATGATCAGATACATAAAGATTAAATAAAATCTAACATTATTCATTTCTTCTTATTCGATATAAATGTATTAATAAAGTTTAATTAATTTGTTTTGCCTAGAAAATCTGGTAAGGATTCATTAAATCATTTTTAAGATACATAACCAAGTTGCACAGCGGTGCAGTGGATAACGCTGTTGCCTCATTTCGAGGAGGTTCCTGGTTAGAATCCCTGTTGGACAGGAGTTTCTGTGTGGGGTTTGCATGTTCTCCATGTGCATGCGTGGATTCTCTGTGCATGCGTGGATCGGGTACTCAGACTTACTCCCAACGTCCTAAGACATGCTTTTTAGGTCAAGCGGTGACTCTAAATTGTCCATAGATGTGAGTTGTCAGTCTTTATATGTCAGCCATGTGATTGACTGGCTTTCAGTCCAGGGTGTAACCCCGCCTCTCGCCCAATGACAGCTAAGATCGGCTCCAGCCGCTGTGACCCCGAACAGGAAAAGCAGTATAGATAATGGATGGACAACATAACCTCTGAAGTTGTTGTTTTCCCTACATGTCTCTTCAGCTATTAGTCATTCTTTATCCATCCAAGCCTTCTATCCAGACTTGTATCGCCCTCTCTGTCTCATTCATGTTCTTCACACCTGTGTCTCTCTCATCCTCCTGCATGCTCCCACACACTGCCCCCACCTCTCTAATATGTGCATCTGTCTAAATGCAGTCGAAAGTTAGTCAAACATGAAGTGGAGAAATGATCGTTCAAAAAGTGAGACGAGCTCTAAAAATACATCCCTGCTGTCCTCCTTCTCTGGCGATCATTAACTCTATGTGTCCTGACCTGTTTTTCTTTTTTTTTTGCATCTGTTGAGTTTTTTTTCCCCTCACTGCTCCTGTGGTATATTAAGCAAGTGAGCACAGAGCTGCCTCCTACACCCGTGCCTTATGCTGCCACTGCTGCTACCGCTCTCTCTAGTCTTGCTGCTTCTATCTCTTTCTTTATCTTTCTTGCATATTCAGTCGAGCTTCTCTCTTAGACAGACAGCTACAGTACAGAGTACTTTCAGCCTTCACACTTAGACGTTCTTTACGTACACAGTATTGGAGTACTTCTGAGGACACTTTACAATCCTGGACCCTTTCTTTTGAGCTTTTATCAAGACTCTGACGCACACTCTTTTACAGAGTAAAACATATTTACTGTTTTGGCTGTTAAAAACTGGTTCACAATCCGAAGCAACACACATAAACACGATGCATCCATTCACACCTTAAAGACACACACACACACACACACACACACACACACACACACACACACAAATACAAGTTTTTTCCATGGTCACCTGCAAAGTAAAAATGCTGATTCCAAGGCAGAGGATTAAGATTGCATTACGTCTGTGGATGCCAGTTCTGATGCTCAGGATTGTGGTGGCTCAAACTCTGGTAACGTATGAAAGACGCTTGTATAGAAATAAGTCGTCCTTTTTTGTGTTTTAGTGACACACGCTGCAGGTGTTTTTATGTTTGTGGTAGCTTTATGCTGACGGGGTTTCTTGTTTGTCTGAAATGGTTTGAGATATGTTCATGACCTGGCTGGATGTCTGGATGTATATTTCTTAATTGGATGGATATTTCTCTGTACTTAGCTTGAAGGAGCATTATGTCACTCTGACACCTAGTGTTTAGAATGGGTACTGCAGTCCAAAGAGCGGTCTCCCCCTATGTACAACAAAGTATCATATCCATGAGGCATACTACATGTTTTGTTGTTGTTTGTTGTTGTGAATGATATTTAGGATGATGATGATGACAAGGACGTTATTTAGGATAGTTTTGGACCTCTAAAGTACAGCTGTGGGTGTTTGTTGTTGATGACAATATATTGACTTTAATTATTCAAAAATAATTAAAGCCAAACATAATCTGCCTCTGGTCACTACCTGTCAGCACCTGTTTGCCTGATCAGAATTATAGCTGTTTGTTTGCACTTACTGATGCTGTTTCCTCCTCGCTAGATCCTTGCTTGTGTTCTTACTCTCTGATGTACATCACTTTGGATAAAAACGTCTGATAAATGAATGCTAGACTTGTTGTTGTTGTTGTTGTTGTTGTTGTTGTTGTTGTTGTTTTGCATGAATTTGATTTTTTTCTTTTTTTTTAATCAGTCAGCTTAAAGTCGTGTTTTTCTTGTCTTAGATCCAGGGTTCCATCCATCCCCATGCCATCATCATTTTGCCAAATAGTGCGGGAACAGAGGTTCTAGTTTGCTACGAGGATGAGGGCGTCTATATCGACACGTATGGCCGCATCACCAAGGATACAGTACTGCAGTGGGGGGAAATGCCTGCTTCAGTTGGTAAGTCAATCTGTCATAAAAGCCTGTTTTTGTTTTACAGTCTTTGGGCCTGTAAATAAGGACTTTATAGAAATAGAATGCCATTGATTTAAGAATTTTAAAAAACGGGGCGATGGTGGCTGAGTGGTTCGCTCCATGTGCGCAGGCCGTAGTCCTTGAAGCAGGCAGCCCAGGTTTGAATTTGACCTGCGGCTCCTTTCTTGCATGTCATTCCCCACTCTCTCTCTCTCTCTCTCTCTCTCTCTCTCTCTCTCTCTCTCTCTCATTTCCAAATCTATCCGCTGTCCTGGTTCTGTAATAAAGGCCCAAAAATAAATATTAACAACAAAAAAAAATTAAAAAATAATAAAGCAAGTCCATCCTTTCAATTTGTAATTAAATTTGAATTCATTGAAATATTCAGACATGAGAATGAAGGCAAAGTAAACCAACAGCTTACAGTTTATACACCATCATAAGGATTTGTGGTGTGAGAGGCGTCTGATCCAGCCTTCTCAACAGAGCCCTAAGTCTCTTATCTTACCGTTGTGATCGTTACATTATCTTTGTAAAAATGTATCATCGGGGTGTAAACTAGATGTACTGCTGCTAAATTGCGTTGCAGAGTCTCAGTGAATAGAAAGCAGCATGTGGGTAGTGCATGTTGCTGCCATGGAGATGTGCTCTAAGTAGAAGGTTTTTTCTGCAGACGTAACAGACAAAGGTCGTGAAGTGTTGATTTTCCATGGTGGATGGTTATTTTGAATCAAATAGTGCTTTGACTCTTCTCTGTTCACTCTGAGCTTGTCTTCATTTAGAAAGTATCCGCTGGTGGTTATGGGTGACATGGTGACAACAATCAGACACTTAACCTAAATCTCTCTCTCCCTCTCTCTCTCTCTCTCCAGCATACCTTCAGTCTAACCAAGTGATGGGTTGGGGAGAGAAAGCCATAGAGCTGAGGTCGGCTAACACGGGGAACCTGGAGGGAGTCTTCATGCATAAGAAGGCCCAGAAACTCAAATTCCTGTGTGAACGCAATGACAAGGTAGGAGTTCTGCTCTAACTGCACAATGTGGACCTGCAGTATCTTTCATGTTAGCGTTTATAATCTCACTGTGACACCTTAAAACATAATTAAGTCTAAAACTAGCTCAGTAAACGGGTATGATTATTTTTATGAAGTGGAGTCAAATTACTGATCAAAGTGTTTTTAACACGGAGGATAATTGGTCATTCCTTCCTGTGTCTTCATGTCATTGCAGGTCTTCTTTGCCTCAGTGCAGTCAGGGGGAAGCAGCCAGATTTACTTCATGACTCTGGGACAGAACTCGCTGTTCAACTGGTAACAACTGGACCTTATAGTCTGGGATCAGCTGTCGGGTCTGCCCACGTCGTTCTCTGTTTACCTGGTGATGCTTTTTATATTTGTGCTGACTCGTGTTCATACAACGGATAGCTGACAACGTGCAGGGACCAGCGACAACGTACAGGAGTAACTAAATCCTCTTGTTTCCATTCTTCTGTGCTTTATTATTTCATGTAAAGGCACACAGATTAGTGGTTGGCTTATACTCAAACAACATTAAAAATGCTTTAATCCTCAAGAGATACTGGAGCCTGAGACAACTCTACTTCATGTACACCTGATAAAGACCTGGATTCAGCTAAAAGAGCTCCAGAGCAGTGGCACCTCATCCACCCACAGACGTTTTCAGAAGAGCAACTCACAGTGTCACCATGAAAAATCACACAAAGCTTTTATGTGGGAACCACATACTTTTTTTCTCCTTTGAGAAAACCGTCACTGCACCAGTGTGGCAAGGAATCAATCCTTTCTTTTGTGTCATATTTATCCGAATCTACCTGAAAGCAAAACCTAAGGCTTGATTCAGTGGACTGTGTGGAGATTCTAAACGAACATCAGATCATAGGTCACATCTGCACTCAACATCCCGCTCCTGTGAGTACTGGACCCCTCATGAAGTCTGCTCAGTGTGTTCCCCTCGTTCAGCAGATCTCTCCTGGATACCGTTTTAAAGCACTGTTCAATCAGTTGCTTAGCTAACCCATGCACATTTCAGTAACTCACTCACTTTCGGACTTTAATCTGTGCCTGTGTGTGTTTTGTTACTGGATCCACTGCTTCCTTATCATCTGACAAACTACGGTCTTAGCACATTGATCATTTTTCTCCCACACCAGAGGAGTAAATGGATGGTAAATGGGCTTGAGCTTGTATATCGCTTTTCTAGTCTTCTGACTACTCAAAGAGCTTTTACACGGCACTTCACACCTACACATCCACAAATGATGGCAGAGGTTTCTATGTCAAGTGTCCATCAGAAGTAACTAATCCCATTTATACACATGCACATGCCACTGATGAAGCAGCGGGAGCAGTTTGGGTTAAGTGTCTTTCCCAAGGACACATGGGACGTGTAGCTGCAGGAGCTGGGGATCAAACCCCCGACCTTCCGGTTGAAAGACGACCGCTTCTACCAACTGAGCCCAAGTAGTGTTTCTCTCTCTGGAGTTTGGTCTCAGCTTGTCTTCATGAATATAATATGTGTTGCTCTTGAAGGACTGAAGTCCTCTCACCCTCTGGACATCTCATGGATAGGTCAAAGACTGTGTTGGGGCCAAAACGTTGCCTTAGCGGAACAATTACTGCACGTCATTCCATATTTTGTTGCTGTTGTTTTCCATTTTTTCCCCACATTTTTTTACTTCCATCAATTTGCCAATACCTCAGCAGTGTTATTTATGTAGGAACCAAACTAAGAATGTCCCACCCTTATATTATTGTTTCCATATCGTATTAAGAGACAGTGTTACACGACACAATATCAAATGTGATATTACTGAACAAAGAATTTACTCTTTTTTTTATCAGATGACACAGACTTTTAGGCACTTTTAGGAAGGTAACTCCTAAAACATCAAATATCCAGTCAGGTTTGTCTAAAAGTAGAACCCTTACTCTAGCTTTAAAGTTGAATTTAAAGCTACCATCAAAATTAACTATTAGGCTGATTTGAGTTTGAAAAGAAGGTTGAATACAAGGAAGCAAAGATAAATGCTTTGATAGATTCATCTAATTTGGTTCTCAAATAAAATGACAGTTGGCTCTTATCAGTAAAGATAAAGATAAGATATCAACCTGCCCCCCTTATAACTTCAAAACTCTCTGAGTTTAAGGAGTTTTATTATGTTCTGATGAAATGATGCCAACCAGGCCGTCACATCAGACACATTAGAGCAGACACATTTATCCAGGAAGAGTACGTCTCACAGGCTGCACGGTGCAGTGACAAACATCGTGGAGGATCCTGGTTCGAATCCCAGTCGGAGCCTTTGTGTTTGGAGTCTGCATGTTCTCCTCGTGCATGCATGCGTTCTCCCCGGCTACTCAGACTTACTCCCACAGTCCAAAGACATGCTCGTTAGTTTAATAGGTGACTCTAAAATTGCCCGTAAAAGTGAATGTGAGTGTGGCTGGTTGTCTGTCTCTATATGTCAGCCCTGTGATTGACTGGGGAACAGTCCAGGGTGTAACCCCGCCTCTCGGCCAATGACGGCTGGGATCGGCTCCAGACCCCCGTGACCCCGAACAGGGAAAAGCGGTATAGATAATGGATGAATGGATGGCTGGCTGTGTCTCGCTAAATCATAACATTATAAGTGTTTATAAAAGAACTAGTGTTCACATATTCTATGCTTCAGAATGCAAAGGGTTAACAAGTTGAAAAATTGATATATATCTCCAAATGTGAATTTGCAATGTTTCTTGTTTTGATCCTTCAGATTGGATTCAAACTGCTCTCATGGTTTTGGTATTTGTCAACATATCAGCTTATTCATTTTTCTTTTGAATGTTGGGCCTCTTTGAATCTGTGACAAATGTTTTTAAGTGACACTTTGAGCTTTCGTTTTTTATTACACGCTTAAAAAGAGGTATTGCAGCTGGTTCTGTGAAAATATTTAAAACTGGAAAGTGTTCTGTTTGATCATAACTGTCTCATGTAAGAGTTGCTATCAAATGTTCTCAGTGTTTGTTTCAGTGCGATATGAATTAACTGCTGTCCCCATGTTCCCATGCAGGGTCCTCTGTTCCCATCACGTTGTAGGAGATGCTTTGGGTTATGTTCACAGATCAAGTGCAAAGGAATAAATACATTTCAAATGCAGTTTTGAGATTGAAACTAGATAGTCAAGAAATTCGAGCGTGTAGGTTTTGGAGGTTGCAAAATGAGCTGTGGCTAATGCTGCATTCATGTGCTGCTCGGGTGGTCCAAGTGTCCGAGTTGGGAAGTCGTTCTTTCAACTTCAGTGTGTTCACGTGATTTCAGTTCAGAAAGTGGGAATGTTGCAAAAAAAACTGTGTTGATGCTACGAAGAAGATCAGTGAAATGTAACTGTGACAAGTTTTATCTGAGCAAAAAGTTGATGTGCAATACGTGAATTCATAAAAAGTATGTTTACATCAACAAAACATATTTTGCCCCCCATGCGATCACGATGCTGACGTCAAGTCCTTACGTCGGGCACCTCATTCTTTTTCTGAGTTTTTCTGAGCATTTTCCGAGCATTTTACAACTCGTAAACTCTTTTTTTTTCCAATGTGTCCAACAGCACATGAATGCACCATTAGTTCAACATATTTCCCCTGTGCAGGCTGTGGCTAAATCTGGTTGTTTTATTACTTAAAGAGTATGTGCCCAAAATCAGCTGATCACCAGGGAGACGAGAGGGAGTGGCTAAGTTGAATGAAGAAAACTGAATGAATGAGAGAGAATAGAAGCAGTCTTCCTGCTCGAACTTACACTGAGCTCCATGTGGGAGGTCATGCTGTGGATCTCTGAGGGATCGATGTTGTGTCACATACAGGAAATTCATCCAAATATTCCATGAGATATAATGTGCTATCTTCCAGTTAACATGACGTCTATCTGCATTGTTTTATTCTGGTTTTTGGACAGGACAAGACATAACTCAGTTCTGCTTTCCTGCTATCCAGGGATAGTGTCCTCTTTAACAGCGTGTTTTTTTATATATTTGTCATCTAAAGCGAGCCATTGGAGACGAACGGAAAATATAAAATGTGTGTTGCTCATTAGCACAAACCTGTCAGTCTTTTGGGCTCCTGTGTTGAGCAGTTCAGTGTAGCAGTGATGAGCGGGAGAGATCAGAGATCACTTCCACCTACACCTTCCCTGTGATGATTGATTCTGTTTCAGGGCAGCAGTGACTCACATCTCCATCTTACCCACCAACTCTTTATACATCTCACTCTGTCGACATGCCTCTCCTACCTTTCATTCCCTCTGCTGTTGTATTGCACTTTCTTAACATCTTTACTTGTTCTCTTGCTGTTTTTATTATCTCTAATCACTCTCATTCTCATGGGTTCATATTCCATGTTTCTCTCGTGTCTCTGAGCTGCTGCTCTTTGATTCTTTCCTTTGAGACATATCATTATTGCATCAAATAATCTGCGTGTTTTAGCATTTTAAAAAGTACCACAGAATATACCCAACCCTGATCTTTGCTCGCATGTGAAGTGACATTTAGCAAAATCCAGAGAAAGGCAGAACTATGAGGGACAACGGTAAAACAGGAATTAAAGCAGTTTAATCAGTGAAGTGATTTTTTTGTCAGTTACAGAGCATCAATATGTAATGAAAGGTAGCCACCATAGAGTGCTGCAGCAGGTGCTGTAGAGACAAACACCTGAGTCAGGCCCGGTTCTATGAGGTTACAAAAGCATGCATTGCACCCTCATTTTGAAATGCACCCGCAATTGAATGGATGCAAATAAATAACAAGAATTGGTTTTACAGTAAGTGATAAAGGCTCACATCGTGTTTACATCCATGATGTGGTGGTCTTAATCGGTCATGTTCACCTGGGACCACATGAGGGACCTGTAACACCTGCACCCTCTTTAATCTCTGATGCACCTTAAGTCATTTTGTTCTTGAACCGGGCCTGACCTGAGTATACCAGATTGTTCGAGGAAGTTCTATGGTTAGAAGTCAAACTAAAGTAAGAAATTTGTTTTATTTCTTCACCCAGAAAGTTTTGCTTTAAGTGCCAACATTGATATTGTTTCAGCCATTGTATGCACAATAGTATGTTGATGAGATAAGCAGCTGTTAAGAAAGTGTGTGTTTGTGTGGGAGGGTGATAGGCCCGGATTCAGGCAGTAAGGGAAGGAAAGGATTTAGATATTAGAGATATATGTTGGTGGCTAAAAGAAGGAACCTGGATGTTGCTTTAAAAAAGAATCATCCTTAGTAATCAAACCTAACTACCAGAAAACTGACCTTGAGAGCTCACATCCTAACCGAGCCAATAACTGTGCCAGGTTTAATCCAAAGGCACCAAACTGGAAATGTGAGTTGAGAATGTATGGATAAAGTTGGTTATGAGAAAGAGAACGGGGGAGAGAAGGTGAGACTGTGGAGGACGTGAACAGACTTAAGGTTGTCCTTGTGGACTAACGTGCTAACGTGGCTGCTTGCCATGTGGAGTTGATGACAAACAAGATGGTTTTATTCTTATGAATTGTAAATAAATGATAAGTTGACAATAAAAAAATATTATATAGATATTCATCTAAGAAGATATATTCCCCCTAACTATTTAATTTCTGTAGCATTTCTTTGGTTGAATTTTATTTTTTTGCACTGGACCTATGTTTGATGCATCATATACTGTATCCTTTCTGCTTTGAGATTAAGATACACTAACTTATGTTTCCATTAGGAGGCATAAATCAGTGAGACAACAATAAACAAGTTGAACAGAGCCATGTGTGTTTTTCTGCTTGAAACATTACTGACATTTCCATCCCTCCCACAGTACACGTTCATCACTGACTCAGCACAAACTCGACCCCATATTACTTCTTAAAGGTCACATGTTATGTAAAATACACTTTGCCATGTTTTTCTCACACTGATTTGTCCCTAATCTGTCTACAAACCCCCCAGTTATGAGAAAAGTCTGTCCTCTCCATCTTTTGCCTGCTCCACATTACAGAAAATGTGACATCACAGAGGGCAGGAACCCTCCCCCAGGTGGGTGACACTCCCTTATCATACAGCTTTATTCTATCCTCCGTCCACTAATTCCACGTCTTTTTTACATCACGTCCTACCTCAGGAGACCCCCACCCCCTCCCGTCTAACAGGGATATCCTCCAGCTGTGTGCTGCATATGTGAACAGCCAAGTCAGGAGAATATCGGGAGCAGTCCTCCTGAAGTTATCTAGATATGTTAAGGAGTGCATATGTG